CCACAATTCCTTGCTGCAACTCATTGGGCCCCCACATGTTCCTGGCTAATACAGGTTTCAGCCGCTCGTGGCTGCGACTAGTCAATGCCTAAACCCGTCCCATCCGTGCTTCCTCACGTCATGAGCCGTTCTGGATCTACATTGGTCGATATTGATTGTTGTCATGACAACCCCATATTTACATACATATCACCCCAGGTCCCCGCGTGGGCCCATGTCAGCTATCAACCAGCATTTGCATCTCTTTGCTAATAAGCGAGAAGACGTCTCTCACCTTCTGTTCTGACGGTCGTGTGCAGCAGAACTTCCTTCCTTCGTTACTTCTCGCTCTCCATCGCAACAATGGCAGGCCGCTGGCAGCCCCATATGTACGCAGCGTCGAGGGATTCGATGATTGACACCGACCCCACCCGGTCGACGTTCAATCCAAAGGCTGTCACCATGGCTAGTCGCATGCCTCCTCCACCACCGAAGAAGAAGCAGGAAGGTCCTTACATCGACTTCAACAAGCACCCGGACAGCTACCTCATCCTTCCGTATGGTAACACACACGCGAAGGAAATGAGCCCGAAGACGAAAGTCTTCATCGACATTGCGCGATGGATCCAGTTCAGTCTGAAGATCCTCACTCTGCTTGGCGCAATTGGCATCATGCTGTGCGGTATCTTCATTCGAGGTGCGCAAGATACAGAGGGCTACATTTTGAGGATACCGGTATGCACAACTCAGTCAACATTTAAAACTTCGCTAACACAAACAGCCCGGTGTGGACCTCATCGTTTGTCTATACGCGATATACCATCTAGTCCGTAATCCCAAGACGCGACCAGCCGGAAGCTCCGCCAGCTACCACTTCTTTGCTCTCGTTACCGACGCCGGCTTTATCCCGTTCTACGTCTTCACCGTACTCATGGCTCGTCGCAACTCCGATATGGATGCCGGAACACTTGGGCGGTGGCGCACCATGTTCCCTACAGACAATGAGACAAACATAGTCCTGTTGACAACATGGATCACCGCAATTGCTACCGGCGGCCTCCACGTCCTCTCAACCGCCATTGATCTGTACTTGGCTATCCTCTTCAGGAAGATCTCAAAGCTGCCACCGGACATGAACCCGCTTGAGGACAACCTGACTTCGCGCAGAAAGACCAAGCACAAGCACAAGAACTCTTCAATCTCAGCCATTACACCTCTTACGTCGGACCAAGAGAAGAGATTCAGTGACCAGAGTACCATTGCTGGAGATCGCCGCGATTCTAAGACTCCTTCGTACATCTACAGCGATGTTCCTAGCCCTACCAAGAACCAGGTCGCGTTCATGCACACGCGAACAGACTCGGAAACTACGTATTCGCCTCATACACCTGCTTCAGCTCGCCAATCCAGGGAGCGGTTCTCCATGTACTCTCAGCCTCCCTCCGCGTACCAGTCCCGCAAAGAACTCAACCACCGTGACGATCTGCTCAACGATGAGGAAGACGATCAGACATTGGCTCAACGCAAGTCTATGCTCTCTCAGCAAGCAAACATCAAACGACACTCGCGTACCGGATCCCACGTTACCTCGTCCTCCTCGAAGGAATCCTTCCACACTCCTCCCGGAACCGCACGCTCTTCCAAACAAGAAGCGACTGGTGATCTCTCTCTCCAGCGTAACTCTCAGCAAAGTCTCAAGAACGACAACTGGTTCGTGCATCCTGACGAGGAAGACGAGCACCACGACCACTACCCAGCGCCCAAGCAGACAATGTTCCCCTCCAACGCCAACAACGGCTACAACACAGTCTCACCCTACGACGACGTCTCCGACTACGACGAAGAGCCCGAGGCACCCGAACCTCTACGCATGAACCCCCTCAGCCAAAACCCGCCATCTCCCCCCGGCACAGCCACCTTCTACGACCCTTACAAAGCCACCTCCCCTCCCCCACCCAGCCTCCAGCGCACCAAGACCACAACCTCCATCTCCACCGAAAAGACGTTCGACCGGTCGCACTCCCGCTCCGGCACCCCGAAATCGCGGTACTACGGCAACCTCCAAGCCGCGACCGAAGGCGTGCGCAGCGCCTCCAACTCTCCCTCCCCAACAAAAGGCTCCTTCCGCCAACAACCCAACCACTTCCCCAGCGCCACAAAACAATACGCCGTCAACACTCCTCCACCCGTCCCCACGCACAACAACGTGGCCGGCTCGCCGTTCACGCTGCACAAGAAGAGTTACACGAGTATCAAGCGCACGGGCGAGGCGAACTACACACCCAAGCAGGGCCAGTCGCCGCGCGTCGTCAGCCGCTCCGGTGTCGATTACATCAACCCGTATGAGTTTGATGAGTCGGATCTGGGTACGCCAGGTCGCAGGAGAGATGTTAGTGGGAAGATTGCCGAGGAGGGGAGAGGAGGTGGGTGGAGTGGGATGACGCAGAGGAAGGTTAGTGGTGTTGCTTATTAGGTTTTTTGTGTTCTTTTCTACTAGGGGGGCGTTTGATGGTATCTAGGTTCAAGGGTTTTTCTTGTGACGATGTTCTATACACATGATGTGGTTTGTCCATTTTTCTTTGGGGGGCAACGATATTGGGTTGGGACTTGGGGGGTTAGCATGACTACATAGCACGTTCTGGATGACTGGAAATGACGATATGGGATCTGTCTGCTGCATGAAACTGAGTTGTATCCTTCTGATATTTTGTTGTGATGTGTTTCTACAGACTCGATGCGAAATTGCGCGGCCGTCTCTGCTGTAGTATAACATGAAGCGCAGCTCTTCAGGCTGTACTGTCGACATCATACTCGACATCAGTCCTAATAACATACTTCGCACCCTCAACAACCCCCGTGCCTTCGTGAAGTAGCGCTCCTTGCGCCTCGCCATGTGGAAATACCGCGACACTGCCCATGATAGGCTTTACAGGGTAAGCATTGATGACACCCTCTTTAACACTAGGAACGAAGAAAGTCGTCTCCCCACCCTTGAACTCGTCGTTGAGGTAGATAAGGAAGGTGAAGAGAGAAGACTGGCGCGCATCGGCTGGCGAGGCATCGTACTTGTAAGCATCGGTGACGGGATCGATACCTGAAGGTGGCCAAGCGCCATCTGCCAGAGTTAGCATATGGATCATTTTAGTTTGTTCAGAATCTACAAACCGATATGCATACGATACTCAGCACCAGGCACGTATCTGTATACTCTGAAGCGTCGGTTGATACCGCGCACTTTCTTGCCAGCCACGCTGTCCGGTACAAAGGCCTTTACTCTTTCCCAGAGCTTGTCGTGGAATGCTTGGTCGACGATCCAGTAGAAGTTGTGGGCTAGCACACTAGTGTCTTCACCTTGCGGTCGCATCGGCGCATCGGGGATGAACTCTATAGTTTCGCCGGCTGCGATGATGGCGGAGCATTCTTCTGGAGAAAGTACGTCCTTGATCAGTCGGAGGTTAGGTACGATTGGGTGCTTGAAGCATTCTGTCTTGGGTCCTTTGCCGAGCAGAACGGCGTCGTCTTGGGAGGCGTAAAGGATTGCAGGGTGAAGGTTCGGTGGTTTGCGCTGCAGACCGGCGGTAGTTTCGATAATGCGGAAGCGGTCCTTGAGGTCGGGGGAGCATGATTTGAAGATGCTCTTGTCTTCAACACTTTTCCGTACTTGACGAGTGGGTTTGCTGGTGCCTCGTAGATCCCATGTGTCTTGTAATGAGATACCTGATGCGATATCTATGCCGTGGCCTGTTGTGTCCGTCGGACCCGTGACTCTTAGTATTGAATCCAGAACCCCGATCAGTTCGTCATTTTGCGCGTTTGTACCGACCACTGTATGACTAGGGACCTGCACGTGGATGGACAGCCCGGAGACTACGTCCAGAGTACGCACCCACCGGCAAAGAGCACCCAGTGTTGGAGTGTCTTTTCTGATGCGCATCTCTGCCAACAAGATGAGGGCTTCTGTGTACTTGGCGTCTGTGAGCGCACCTGATATCCGCGCAGTGAGGTTACTGCCATCTATTCTTACGCTTAGTCTTCGATGTCGAAACCCAAGATATTAGACATACCAGCTGAGTTCAGGCCGGTAGTACATGCTTGACGGAAGTCGTATACAGCAGTCCTCAGGTCTTTGCACGCTTTTGACTTGATTAGTAGTGGATGTGCGGATAGCGTTTGTAATGTCTCAATTGCGACCTCGATCTCTTCAGATGAGATGACCGAATGTACGCTTGCTGGCTCGAGTGGATTCGCATCTTGTGGTGGACTTGGAATGCTGTTCGGGTACTGCTTCTTTGCAGCCTGCAGTTGCGCATTCGCGCTACGTTTCCGCTTGGCCATGCTTGATGATTAATTTTCTAGACGTGAAACTGGACAGCGGAATAGTATCCACCAAGGATGTGTCAGCGATCACCGTGACGGATGTGAAGTAGTCCGTCCTGTACGTGCATGCCGAGGTTTACGGCGGCGAACGTAGAAATTTTGTGGTCTGTGCACTGGACTAGGCGGGGCAATGTTGTGCAGTACCAGTGCGGAAAGGCCCGCTCTCCGGTCTCACCACCTCAGAATACATGCAGGTGCGTCACACTTACATGTCTGAGCCTCAGACTCGATTTCCCTTACGTTCAGCCCGGACCTCGTTCGCTCGATGTCCGACCGAGAGTTCTGACCTTATTCATTGCAAAAGGACTATGTATATCTCGATGCCTACTGTATCCACAGTGGTGCAGTAGACTAGAAGCCCTGAGCCCACACACTCGGCAGTTCAACGGCGCTATGCAGTCTACGGGGTCTGAGACAGGATTATCGGAACGGGGTTAACGACAAACAATGGGCCGACGTACGTGTTATGCGCGGATCGAGGGGTACATTCCAGAATCTCGAGTACCCAGGTATATAGATAACTCGGGCGATCGCCCTTTTCTTTTTCTTCACACATCTATACAAATTTTCGCTCATACATCTATCTGAATATACTCTTACTTTAACACATACCCCCACTTCGACATACATACATACTCACCAAAATGGCTTCCACCTCCTTCTACCAGGCCACCGTGCCCACCTTCAAGGGCATCGCCAACAGCGCTGTTGGCTTCCTCACAGCAGCCAAGGAAGAGCAGGCAAAGAACAGCTCGCTGCCCTCCGACCAGGACCTTCTCAACGCCCAGCTCGGCGACATGCTTCCCCTCCGCATGCAACCCATCCTCGTCGGCAAGTTCCCACTCGATGGCCTCACCACCCTGAAGCTCAACGGATCGGCCGCACCCCCTAACCTGGACCCCTCATCATTCTCGTCCCTCGACGACGTCATCAACTTCTTCAAGCAGTTTGCCGCTGTCTTTGACGCCGTTGACGAGAAGACTTACAACGAGAGCGCTGGAAAGAGCTTCGATGTAACCGTTGCGGGCAAGACTATGACTATGTCTAACTTGGCTGAATACTATAACAGCTTCGTCATTCCCAACAGTTAGTATTACCCTCGATGGAACTACATGTCAAATGTAGAATGTATGCTCACACGGACTTTCAGGCTACTTCCACCTCAACGCCATGTACATGCTATTGAGGAGCAAGGGATTCACTCTTGGCAAGGGCATCTACGTCAAGCCTTTCTTCACCGAGCAGGCAAAGAAGGACTGGGCCCCGTTGATGGGTTAGAGAGCGCCATATGCTGAGCTGCGCTGTGTCTATTTAGCGAAAAGACTCGATAATCAAAGAGCACGCATTAGATATAAATGAAATGAATGACATCACATCAATCTATTCGACAGAGGGCAACTAGACCTGCCTGCACCTATTAGTTTTCTTGCTCGTATGGGAGTGAGTGTCTAATATATGAATGAGTACACAGAACAGAAGACATTGCCAGAATGCCCATCAACCTGCAGTGCTGATGTTCGTTGATTCTTTCTCAGCTACTTTATTTGTCGAAAGCATCTCTCAGCTTCTCAAAGTGCGCCCTCATCTCCTCCCAAAGCTTTCCTTCAACATCTGCTAAAATCGTACACACCAAGCTATAGTTGTTACACAAGAACCTTTCCCTCTTCCGTGCATCGCTGATACCCTTGCTCAGCTTGGTGAGGTAGGCTTCATACTCGCTCCTCAGTCTGGCCACCGATACACTGACTGGCTCATCGTCGCCTGCTTCCGAAGAGAGTGCCAGGATGCCTTGAAGCAGGTTTGCAAACTTTTGTGTAAGAGGTGTTGGCGCTGTGGAGGTAGCGGTGGAAGAGCTTGAGCCAAGTAGCGCCGCACCGGTCGAAGGCCGGCCGGGTAGAGATGAAGTGACTTTCTGGAGTGAGGTGCAATGCATGTCCAGAACCTGCTGGAACCGTGGCCAGAGTAGCATATTGGTTGCGTTAATATAGCCTTCCACCGTCGGCACCTTCCTACGTTGTAGTTCGAATGCGAAGTGCTGGTTAAGTCGTACGCACAGCAGTATACCAAGCGTGTCTGTTGTTGCTTCCACGAGCGACTTTGTAACCGCTTGACCGACTGCTAGCGTAGGCTCGAAGATGGAGTTGAAGGTTCGTGAAATGGCGTGGAAGTTCTGTGATGGGGCGAAGTATGTAGATATAAACGTGTACTCAAAACATGCGTTGTCGACGAGTGCGAGGTTGAAGCTGCGGAAAGGGACTTCGAGGTAATGCGGCGACTTCTCGTCCTCGGCAACGTTCGCTGGCAAGGCATTGACAGAGGAGCTCTTCAGTGCGTCGCGACGTCGTCCGAGAGAGAAAGCGTCGTATGCAACTGGTGCGTTTCGAGACTGACCGAGCAGAGTTCCAGCTCTTCTCGCACTGGGATCTTCGCCCAGAACATCGTACCTGTCCATAGCATGTACTTTGATCTTTTCGAGCGCAGTTCGATAGCGGCTGAAGTGGTTGAGGTAGTACCACCGCATGGTATACACGTATGCCTGCGCTATCTGTTGCGCAAGCTCTGCTTGGTGTTTCGCGAGGAAAGAATACAAGTCTTTGTATTTTAGGAATGCTTGCTGTTGGATGATCTGCGCATTGATGGAAGGTGAACGGATGGCCTTGATCTGGGCGACTATGTAGTCTCGTATTCGTTCAACGGCGCGATTTATGAGATCGTCCAGCAGGGGCTTGACGTCCTTTATGGCCATCAAGTCTGGATGTTCTTTGGCCTTGTCGTTGACTGTCTTGGACCGTTTCTCGACTTCTGCAAGGGCGCGCACGAAGCCGTCATCGACCGGACCTTCAGCGATCTTGCGCACCACAGCTGGTGATATGCTGATGTCTTCGACCGCCGGTCCCAGGAGCTTCTCCACCACTTTTCGGTTTTCCAGTTTGGTGTTCAAAGCAATGGACCGGTTCTGGAGAGATTCTATCTCTGCAGACACAGCCTCGAGATCCGACTGGAAGTTTGTCAGGTTTGCTTCCACCGACTTGAGCACCTCATCGCACGCCAATATCGACTTGTGAAGGTCCTCAAACTTGTCTTTGTCTTTGTCATCTGCAAGCACAATGAGCAAAGACCTGGGACTCTGAGCATAAAAACATACATTCTTCGACTGACTGCGCGCTATATGTATGTACAGAAGTGGGCTGCTGTCGCTCTGCAGTCTTCGCCGCAGCGAAATCGTGCAAGCTCAGGTCCCCGAAATCAATCTCCTCCTCTACCACTTCAGGCTTCTCCGATATATGCGTCGAGTCTTCCCCGTTCGTGGCAGGCGAGTTGCGCGGCGGTCCTCCCATAATCGACTCTAGCACGTGTACGGGATCTGGCACGTTGGGCGGAACACCCCCTGTCTGGCGCCTACGTGGCCCGCCATTTGGCATGCGCGCGGATAGAGGCAGGCTCGCAGTCGAAGCATTGGGCGATATGAGGGGCGTCAGCGAAGACGATCGCGGATTCAGCCCCGGCCTCACGGGTTGCGCGGGTGCTGGATAGCCCCTTCGGGGAGCGGGCGAGTACGAGTCGCGTCGTGGAGGCGGCGTGCCGGTGGGCGTCGAGTACGAAGAGAGCCTATCTAGACCCCACATGATGCCTACTGGGTCGCAATCAGTTCAAGGGTGCATGCTAAGAATCAAACACGGATAGCGAGCTCTGAGGGCAGCTGTAGAGCACCTCGATTCACATAGCAGGCCCGGCGATTGTTTAATCCGCGAGCTAGACAGGGATCCGCTAGCGCCACCTTCCCCTCCGCGCCTGCCCAATTTTGCCCACGCAAAAGACTTCTCTCTCCATCTCCATTTAAGGACACTGCCCACCCCACTGCCCTTCGCCCAGCAGCCCGAACTCAGCCTCTCCTCCCCGTCGCATCCAACTCTCATTCATCACCATGGCGGACAACAACGACGCGCAGGTACGTCCCTCGGAATCCAGCCCCGCATGTGCTCTTACCCCACCCTTCGGAGCACTGTCGCCAGCTGCGCTCCAGCTTCGCACCCTCATGCGCCGCCCTCTTGCGCCCAGTACTGACGCCGTAAATTATAGCATGAGCACACCTTCGACTCCGCCGATGCGGGTGCCTCCACCACCTACCCCATGCAGTGCTCTGCCTTGAGGAAGAACGGCTTCGTCTGCATCAAGAACCGCCCCTGCAAGATCGTCGAGATGACCACCTCCAAGACCGGAAAGCACGGCCACGCCAAGGTCCATCTGGTCGCCATCGACATCTTCACCAGCAAGAAGCTCGAAGATCTCTGCCCCTCCACCCACAACATGGACGTTCCCAACGTCACCCGTCGCGAGTACCAGCTCGTAAGTGGCCCATGAGGCTCCAATGCGAAGCCTGAGCTAACACGCGAACTAGCTCGACGTTACTGACGACGGTTTCCTCTCCCTCATGTCCGACGACGGCTCCACCAAGGACGACGTCAAGATCCCCGATGGTGAAGTTGGTGACAAGATCAACAAGATGTTCACCGAGGACGGAAAGGACACCAGTAAGTTACACTCGGAATAGGCGATTTTTGGGTCTTACTGACATACCACCAGACGTCATTATCCTTACCGCTATGGGTGAGGAGGCCTGCATCGACGCCAAGGAGGCTCCCAAATAAGCGCATCGCTCAATACGTAGACTGTTTGGCAGGAAGCAAGGCGCAGACTGCAGACAGATTACAAACGGGGCTGCAACACTCTTTGCATATTGCGTGCAAAGTTGTAGCTCCGCGGCAAACGTAGCATTCTCCCGTGCGATTTGCACTAGGCGACCAATGCACGAGGTTCTTCGGATGGTTTTTGGTTCTTTGCATTGCCATGTCTGGGAAACGTATTACGATGCACTTCCCTCTTTAGATATATCCCTTACGCTTCTGGCAATGAATAAAAGGTGATGACTTTACGGCAAATGTCGCGTCTCTCATTGGTAGAAAATTCGTGTGACTGGTTGCCGGATCCGCGCTAGTCGCCCGCGAACTTGGATCTCGTGTATCCTGGACAACAATTATCCATGGATCACATGTGACGCAGCACTCAAACGCACTTGTTCTCACTTGCAGCCTCGTTACCTTGAAATATCTGCATCCACTCTTTCCATATACAGGTACACCGCCAAATCCAATTAGGCCTCGTTTATGTCGACTAAAGGCCCCGTTTGTGGCGTCGAAAACTGCCGATCTAGACGTTACGAAGAAGGCGAAGACGGCTTCTTGTATTGTCAGAACGGCCACCAACAGGCTGGCTTAGTCCGCGGAGAAGATGACGATGACTACGTAGGGGCTTCCCGAACAGTCACGCGCAAGAAGAAAGAGACGGAGGATGACGCCAAATCCACTGGTAAAATCTACAAGGGCGCCCGAGGTTTTGATTTATACTTGAAATGTCTGCAGCTCGTCCTCCGCCATCAACTTTGGTTCCTCGTCAAGGATCGAGGATTGCCTGTGGAGCTTGAAGCAGTCACACGCGATCTCTGGTCGCTGCGCATTGCTCAACTTGGAGACCGGATCGCGAGTCAGGATGAAGAGTCCTCAGAGTCACAGAGTCAACAGCTTTTCAGCACCATGGAGAGCGAAGATGATGCCACGGACACTGAGAAAGGCCATCTCAGAGATACCAAAGGAAAGAGGAGTATGAGGTTAGCCGCCGCACCCAATCTCAATGATTGTCTAGTCTTGTGCTACCTTGGTATCTTGACACTAAGGCTGCCGTTCACACCAGGCGATGTTTATGCGTGGGTCATTGATGGCAAACTAGCATATCGCAGAGCAATCAAGCTACTGCCACTCGCCATGAGAGATCGACTGTTACCCGCCTACCGTGCTGTTCTTGATCCGAGCGCATCGCTTACTTATACACGATTTTACAAAACGCTCATAGACCTACAAATGAGCTACAGCAAAGACCACGGTATCACTTGGCCGGCTCTGAACGTGCCGCTCCTTCTGTTCCGCTATCTGAAAGAGCTTGCCTTGCCACTGGAGCTGTATGATGCAACAAAACGACTCGGCGACTTGCTCGGCTATGACTTCGCTCCCCACCACGACGGTAAGAAGCGTCTGAGTATACGGCATCTCGCTGAGGCGCAACTAGTGAGCACCCTCGTCATATGCATCAAACTACTATATCCTCTCGACAATGAGAAGCGTTATCCGATTTCATCTTCCGAACCAACAGCGGCGGCGATGAACTGGGAAGTGTGGCGTGAGCAGATGAAGGCGGCGGAGGAAGCCAGGCGAGGAGGCAGGGGACGCTTCACTACCGAGGAGTTGACAAAGGTGCAGGAGAAGGATGTTCTCACAATGGGCCCTGAAGAGATGGATCAGTACCTGGACTTCTACGCCACCGAGTATTTGGATGATGCCGAAATCCAGCGCACGAGGGACGCTGATGACTTCCGACACGCGCTGTACAATATGTTTCCTATCGACACTACAACACATCATCCCCCACAGGAGGCATCCCATACTTTACCATTGAACGAAAAACTGGAGGTGATAAAAGTGGTCCAGGGCGCAATGGAGACAGTTCCAGTGGTAGCCGAGGAGAACACCGAGGTACTTAGGATAGGACAGGCATACCCGATTTGGAAGACGGAAGAAGACATTCCTGATGTAGCAAAGACGCTGTACAGAGAAGCTGCAAAGATCGCAGGGCTATCGATGAACATGCTCATATTAGCAGTCGGTTCCACGGAAGCAAGGGTTGAGCAGTGGAAGAAGGCACAGAAGAGGCAAGCTTGAGGTCGCCACGTGCATGTAATAATATAGATCCAAAGCTTGACTATCACTTGCCAAACACCTGTCTTCTTAGAAATTAATGCACGCTTGATGCGCCGGTTTGGAGTGATGGAAGGCGTCACACGTGAGGGGCGCTTGACGCGCGCTAACGCTTGCCGGCCTAGCATGGGTGTCTGTGCGCGCACACAGTGTGGAATTCGTCTACCACTTCCGCCCTCAACCTCGATACTGAGATCACGGAACACCGCAACACCGCCAAAGATGCAGATCTTCGTGAAGACCCTGACGGGCAAGACCATCACGCTCGAAGGTATATCTCGGCTGCACGAATTGCAATGGGCCGCGCGCTGACTTATTCGCAGTTGAGAGCAGTGACACCATCGGTACGCATACCCCCAATGCCACTCGACGGCAGTACTCCGCACCGCGCCGCATCGCATCGCATCGCCCGCGCTTGCAAAACATGTAGAAGAGGGAGGATAGAAGCTGACAGCGGGCAGACAACGTCAAGTCCAAGATCCAGGACAAGGAGGGCATTCCCCCGGACCAACAGCGCCTGATCTTCGCCGGAAAGCAGCTCGAGGATGGCCGCACTCTGTCCGACTACAACATCCAGAAGGAGTCCACCCTCCACTTGGTCCTCCGTCTCCGTGGTGGTATCATTGAGCCTTCGCTGAAGGCCCTTGCCTCCAAGTACAACTGCGACAAGATGATCTGCCGCAAGTGCTACGCACGCCTACCACCGAGGGCTGTCAACTGCGTACGTCTTGAGAAAATCCCTGTTCCTTGAACCAGGAACGGTTGGGGTATCGGAGTTTGACTAACAACACCACAGCGCAAGAAGAAGTGCGGACACACCAACCAGCTCCGCCCCAAGAAGAAGTTGAAGTAAACTACTCGCCTCTATCGGCGTCTGGCGAAGAGAGCAACGGGGTCGGTGGAAACGAATTGCAACGATTGCATGCGATGGATATGAGGGCTAGATCGCTACTACTTCTTCCACGGCACATGGCATCAATGGCGTGCTTGTCTTGTCTCGCATCTGAGACTTTATGAAGGGAATCAGGCATGTAGAGTGAATCGATCAAATTCAAACACCACCAGCTTCGACTCTATTGTTACCCATACTGCTATGTCGTGTTGCGCATGTTTGACAGTCTTGCAACAGGTCACGTGAGATCGCGTCACGAGCGTATCTATGACGTCACCGATCATACCGCACGGCGTTCAAACGCCAAAAGCCTGGAAACGCACTGATGGATCTGAACTCTTGAACTGTGGTGCTCCATGTCGTATGAGCCCTGAGATTTCGATTCAAGAGGCCATGGCCGTGTGTCACACATGATCACATCAACATGCGATAGTTTTTGGATTTTCGTTGATTTGATCGTAGAAAACATCGGATATACAAGTACACAAATTTTCTCTTGCTCGCATACTAAACACTCGTAGATATGAAATCGAACGTCTTCTCCACCATTGCTGATGATCGTCGCAATAGGTACCGTGATGCCGGGCCGTAGTGCCATTTCAACACCGTTCCACATTCGTCACTCTCACCGTAAACCAAAAGCGCCGCCGAGAATATAGAGCTGACGCCGATCCAACCAATGTTTCGTATCCAGCAGGTAGAAGGAAGTACACATCATCTGCATCCTGGAAAGCAATTGCTCTAGGGCAGATGACCGAACGTGTAAACAAGAAAAGGGTAAAACTCGAAACTCCGAGATACAACGAGGAGCGTGAAAATGGTATCGTAACGCCTCGCTATGCATATAAAAACAGGGTAGAATTCAAGAAGTATAAGTAGTATGCGCGCGGTCGACGGAGGGCTCGGTGGCGAACGTGTACTGTCTGGTGTGGTCGCGGCGGTGATACAAACGCGGAAAGAAACGGGTATAGTTGAAGGGAGTTTGCCATCCGGGATGGCGTGGGTGATGCTAACAGGGGGCTGCTTAGACACGAGGCTTCTTCCAGTAATATTGCTATGAATGATTAGCGATTGATCTCGAGGAAGATATTGATGGACAAAGGGTGTAGGGGCTGGTGAGTGTGACGTACCTTGTGTGTCTTCCTTACAGACCGTAGTCCAGTGCTGCGTGTACCGGCGGTGATTGTTTCACGCCTCATCTGGTTGGTGTCCATCTCGGGGACATAGTAGAACTCGTTCTCAAGCGGCTGGCCAGCGGCATCCTTGCCGGCACGAGGAATCTCACCAACACAAGGAGTGTCGTCTAGGATCCTCTTGAGCTCTTGCCTAGAGAGCTGAGGAAGGGGTGTGGATGCGCCGTTGCCCTCTTCATCCTTGCCATCTGTGCTCTTGATCGCACAAGCCTTCAATTCGGAGGGAAGGTTGCTGTGGATGGCGGAGAGTGGCTGCGAGTGGATGCGAGAGAACGCCAACTGGTTGATGACATGGTTCTTGATGGGCGACTCTTTGAATCGGATAGGCTCGGTAACTCGACGTCTGGGAGACGGTGATAGTAGTGGCCCGCGCATACGGGGGGCGTTGGACTGTGTTGGCGTAGCTGTGTTGAAAGAAGCCATGCCGTTGAGCAAGTTCTGACCGAAGGGTCCGAATGAGTGCACAACAGGGTCGTTCTCTTCGTCGTTGTCGGAGAAGTCGTCGGCAGCGAAGTTGATACTCTCCTTAGGGTCGACGACAGGACGAACTTCATGACTAGACCTGGAGCTTGGGAGAGAGGGGCGGATAAAGGTCTGATCTGCAGACCCTGGGGTCTTGACGCCAGGGCTGTCTACACTTGCATCGGCATCTTCGAACACTTGAACAGGACCGGACTGGGCATTCGAGCTGAGGCCCGCGAAGACGGGAGGGCGGATAGGGCTTTGAGAGACAGGCGAGCGTGGAACGATAGGAGGACTAGAGGCCAAGTTCTCCTGGGTACGCGTACGAGTCGGGGTAGGCATGCCTTCTTCCTCGGATTCCCAGGAGAACTTTGATACAGGGATGGTCGGCCAGGCAATCATGACGCGGGTATCCTGTACATCCAGCATGATGGCCGTCTCGGGGTTCTCTGACATGTAGGTGTCTCCCTTGCTCAGCTCGAAGATGCGTCCCTTGCAGTGGATCTTCGCACCGTTCCATCCCAGACATTCAACCTCGATGTAGCCGTGCGGGTATGGCGGGCTTGGCGCGTGATAGGCAGCTTGGACGTGGACGCGTGAGATGAGGCGGTTGGTGGAGAGCTGGTAGTCCGAAGTGTTGGAGCTTCGACCCATTCTCACGACTTCGCCATCTGCGGGGAGGTCGACGGTGGGCACAGCCCCGAGTGGGGTCCTCTCCGACAGAGCAGAGAAGGTTCGCTCGAAGCCCGGCCGGGCATGGCGGGGCGACGAGGAGAGAATGTTGGTCGACGATGTGGGCTGGGGGGTCGGGTAGTACTTCAGTTGCTTGGGAAAGGTGGGCGAGTCCTCTTCGAACTTGCGTTTCGAGGACGTTGGGCGTGGAAAGGGCGATGAAGAGAATGGCCCGTCTTCGCCGAAGGCCGGAAGAAGCGTTGGGGTGGGCTTCCGAACATGGCCCGACTGCGTCTCTGTCGACTGGATGAGGGAGTGCGGCATCGCCTTGCTGGGTGAAAAGTCCATCTCGTGTGGGGAGCTCCTAAGACGCGGTGCTGCTGGCGTGTCGAGGTCTATGGGGTAAGGTGGACGTGTCTCGAAGGAGACGGACAGGCCGGCGGCTGCAGAAGGAGTGTTGGGAACGCGAAGATTGACACGAGGCGGTATGGGAAAAGAAAGACGTAGGTTAGGAGGAGGAGGCCATGAGGTCAATTGCGAAACTACGGGTCACGAACGCGATCATGGAAGACGTCGCGACACGCGGGTGTGGGTTGGCTAGCGTGATGAAGCTAGGACCGTCTTAAGAACCAGCACCCGAGTTCACCACGCATTCCGCCCTTGCAATACGTCTTTTGTAACATGCTTTCAGATACAAGATGCCCTGCGTGTCTCAGCTAGTCCGATTGCATTCTTTTCCAGGCTTTTGCAGCGCTTCTTCGCTATACATATCCCAAAGTTCAGTCACGTCGGCCACATCCGTTCACCAGCCTCTGTGCACGAGCACAATTATTACGCCTATGACATACGTTCTGTCCTCGGCTGCCACTTTAACTTGGTTTTCTCCGCTCTGCCAGCCCCTCTGCACTGCAGCCAATTCCACATTAATCTGCAATCATTGGTAATATCTACGCGCTGAGACGAAATCTTTCACACTTGCTGCTGCTCTAATGGCATACACGTCGGTTACAGTAAACCTCACGACTGCGTGAAGTAAATTGAATACCCCAAAAGCAATCTACACGCAGGTACTCAACGCGTACCAAGATCCTGATGTACTACGCGTTCTTGGGCAGCGATCGGATAGACCCACAGCCGTACGCCAATATCCAGATACAGGCAAACGTCACGCAGGTGAAAAGAAAAACTTTGTGCAGCAATCGATGCAGCTAACGCGAGAGCAAACACGTTCGTAACCAAAGTGGAGCGGTAGGGCCGACGGACGCGCGACAGTGGTATAGACGCGTCGTGAAAGATGGCCAGGCGAGCGCACGGTGATGGCGTTTCGGCTGGACCGTGTTCGGACTGGCTTCGATCAATCGATAACGAACACTTTTGTCTCGTGTGGGCAATCCAATATAGAGTTGATAATTGCTGCCGCGTCCACGAAACCTTAATGGTCCAGTCCACGATGGGTTGAGCATCTCGCATCCACTTTTCTGTGACGGGCACAAATGACCTCGTGATGATAGCCTGTGTACCCCTATAGCACATTGACGCGCTGCTCATGAAACGGCTGACGGCATGGGGACAAGGACTGAAATTGAAATCCATCGGCTGGTGACATTGCAAGGGTGAATAGCCTGTCGTGTGCTTGAGGATACTGCGACGCGACGATTGGCTCTGAGGAGCCCCGCATTTGACTTCCGGGCTTCGGAGAAACTGTGGCGCCGGCAAAAAGTTCGAAGGGAAAGTTGGACAAGGGTCTAGCCCAGAATTTCCAGCGACCAGCAACATCGCACCATATCACAGCAACAATGGCCAAATCCAAGACCCTTACCAAGAAGGTTGAGAAGGCGCCCGAGGCGCCGCTCACTACCAAAGCCACGAATGGCACGCCCTACCAGCTCGACCCGTCGCAAGTCGAGCGCGCGGCCAAGGCGCTCGTTGCGCACATGAAGAAACACGTCGAGGACAAGAAGGAGGAAGCACCCAAGAAGAGCTTGGCGGCCGATGAGGACGAGGCGGAGGAGGTCGACGAACCCATCTTTCTCAGTCTGGCGACGAAGAAGCAGATTGGCAACACCAAGAGCATGAAGCCTCTGGCAATGTATGTTCGCGCATCGCAGCGCTTGCGCCACACCGCTAACATATACCAGCAAGCTACCCCATCCCATCATTGCAAGCGATGTACGGATATGCATCTTCACCAAAGACCCGCAAAGAGCGTACAAAGACCTCGTCGCATCCGACGCTTTCCCGGCCGCCCTTCGCGGAAAGGTGCAGCGTGTGCTCGGTGTAGACAAGCTGAAGAAGCGATACAAGGCATTCGAGCAGAAGCGCGCGCTTCTTGCCGAGTACGACGTTTTCATGGTCGACGATCGAATCATCAAGATTGTCGCAGAGTGCCTAGGCAAAGTCTTCTACAAGAGCAAGTCAAAGCGCCCGATTCCAATCCGCCTTACTGCTGGCGCATACATCGACAAGAGCGCGAAGAAGGACAAGGATGCGAAAGAGTCCCAGAATGTGGTCGGCACACCGCAAGGTGTAGCAAAGGAGATTGAGTCTGCTCTCAACTCGACCTACCTCAGCATGAGCCCCTCCGCCAACACCTCTATCAAGGTCGCCAACCTCTCCATGACCCCTCAACAGATTACGGAGAACACTGCCGCTGTCGTGTCCGAAGTCGTTAACAAGCACGTCGGCCAAGGCTGGCGCAACATCCGCAGTCTGCACGTCAAAGGTCCCGCGACCAAGGCCCTGCCCATCTGGCTCGCTGACGAACTATGGACTGAGTCTGAGCAAATCCTTGAAGGACCGTACCACAAGGCCATCACAGAGGGCACACCAAAGGGCAAGTCTGCAGAGCGCAAGAGAAAGTGGGATGAGTGGGAGGAGGAGATGCTCGACGATGAAGAGCTCGCTGCGAAGCAGGCCAGGAGAGAGGCCAAGAAGGCTAAGAAGACAGAGAAGAAGAGCTCGATCAGCAAGGAGAAGCGGAAAGCAATGAAGCAAGAGGCACTCCAGTCGGTACAGACACCGTTGATTGCTGGTTAAACAATCCATTACAATCATCATTGCATGGCACGGCGCAATGTGTTGGCGTTCCGGCGTTCAAAAGATCTGTTTGACGAGATGATACTATACCACTGGTCGGCACATAGCAACATAGACTCTGTGCAACTGTTAGAATGTACATTTGCTTTCTATAAATCACGATGACACTGCCTTGCTCATATCATGTTTTTTGCGTGGACGTAAAAGCTATGGAGAGCTATGACCAAGTCCGGCTGTACCTGCCTCGGCTTGATGCTAACGTCATACAACGCCGCGTAGATCAGTGCGCGTCTCATATGCTCCCAGCTTGCGCCTCTCGAGCCTCTCCACCTCTCACTTTCATTCCACCATCGTCAAAATGCTGCACTTACTTCCAATTTCGACGCTCCTACTCGTGACACAGGTCATCGCATCACCACTCGCACGCAGCGATTCCAAGCCCCTCCCACTGCTCATCTGGCATGGTTTAGGCGACAACTATGCCGCAGACGGCCTGCATAGCGTAGGCGACCTCGCAAACGAGACGAATCCCGACACATACGTATACTATATCCGCCTTGATGAAGATGCTGGAAGCGATCGAACAGCCACATTCCTGGGCAATGTCACAGAGCAGATTGCGCAAGTCTGCGACGACATCGCAGAACACGCGGTTTTGAGCAAAGCCCCAGGCCTCAACGCGCTTGGCTTTTCGCAGGGCGGTCAGTTCCTCCGTGGAATGATAGAGCGCTGTGGCGACAGAATCAAAGTCAAGAACCTGGTCACATTTGGTAGCCAACACAACGGCATCGCAAAGTATCAGCTATGTAAAGACGGAGACTGGCTTTGCAAGGGCTACATCGGGTTGCTCAAATCCAACACCTGGGGCGCATGGGTGCAGGGGCACCTGGTGCCAGCGCAGTACTTCAAGGCCACGAACGAAACGACTGGAGAACCCACGGAAGAGTATCTCGAATCCTCCAACTTCATCGCCGACATCAACAACGAGAGGGTGTTGAAGAACGTCACCTACGCGAAGAACCTTGCCGCGCTAGACAACTTCGTCATGTACGTGTTCGAGGACGACACCACTGTCATACCGAAGGAGTCTGGCTGGTTCGCGTACACCAACACTACCAGCAACGAGGTCACGGATCTGAGAGATCGCGACATCTACAAAGAGGATTGGATTGGGCTCAAGAAGCTTGACGAGAAGGGTGGTCTACACTTCAAGACGACCAAGGGCGGACACATGGATCTTGGTGATAAGGTGCTGAAAGATGTCTTCAAGACCTATTTCGCACCAGAGAAGACATTATGGGATGGGATCGTGGATGAGGTTCAAGAGATAATGGAGTTGTAGACTGGGAAATCATATGGCTAGCCCCACTCACGGTAACACGGGCGAGGAGTTGGGTTGGGTTTACATGTATGAATACACACGCAGGTACGACGAGCGATCACAATTTCACAATTTCAGCTCAAATCGGATTTTGGGCACCACGACATGTTGTCTGATGAGCATAGGATCAAATAGCGATCTTATTTCCAGCCGTGCCTGTATTTGATTGTTGTTAAGAACATGTATGTATCATGTACGGTGAACGTCTCTAGGAGGTGTCTTGAGGAAGGTATCCAGGTCGAAAACAACACGAAAAAGTAAGCTATTTCGTACCTTCTACAGCGGATGATCGGGATCGGACGTTTTCTACACAGCGTTGGAAACAACCACGCAAACCAATAATCCTACGACTAGCCCTCCAATCATCGCGCATTCTTGCACGCACCTCCCCTCCCCCGACCGGGGTTTTGCGGCAGACGTCATGTTTGGGTGGGTCATCATGAGCATCAGCCCACAGCAACACTCCACGCCGACGCCGGTCGAAACGAGTCTAGTCTTGGCCTCTCCATGCTTTAAATACTCCAAGTCTCCCCGGAAACTTCAATTGACACGTCTCGCCCATCGCGGCTCCTCTCCACTCTATATTTCTTATTCCACGCCTGCGCTGAGCTTGACGCTCCACGAACAGCTACAAGCTTATCGATAAGCTACTAATCCGATCAAGATCGTCACGGCGGAAGAGAAGAACGGCAGGAAGCAAAGATGTCGGTCTCAGCAGCATTGAAGAGCCGGGTCAGGAGGCCAAGCTATCTCAAGAAGATTGCGAAAGCTGAGGACTTGCTTCACCACTTCCCCAATGGAGCATACATTGGCTGGAGTGGCTTCACGGGTGTCGGATATCCAAAGTAAGCATTTTCATTTCTCTCACGCTACTTTATCGGCCAAGCTATGAGGCTCTTCGGGTACTCAAGGTAGCCCTGACTACGGTGTACGATGTCGGACCTACTTGGTAGTTCGATCTTGGATCCCGAGGTGGAACGGAAGTTTAGGATGTGACGAAAGCCGAGCTATCTCCGGCTCCACAATTCGAGCCGCGCATGGATCAGGTCAAGACGAGCACTCAAGAGCCTTGGCCATGACTCTCGCCATACATGCCTTGATTTGAATGGTCTTTTCTATTGTGTTGGTTGAGATTTTAGACTAACGGCATGGCAGGAAGATCCCTACGGCTATGGCCGACCATGTCGAGAAGAACAATCTCCAGGGTCAGCTGAAGTACAATCTCTTCGTCGGTGCATCGTCAGGTGCGGAGACTGAGAATCGATGGGCACGTCTCAACATGATCGAGCGCCGGTCGCCGCATCAAGTCGGTAAGGAGATCGCCAAGGGTATCAACAACGGCAACATCAACTTCTTCGACAAACATCTGAGTATGTTTCCCGTTGACTTGATGTACGGGTATGTACAAACACGCAGAACTCCACGAAGAGGAAACGGTGCTGATTCCGAGTAGCTTCTACACATTGAACAAGCCCGACAACAAGCTCGATGTGACCATCGTGGAAGCGTCGGCCATTACCGAGGATGGTGGAATCATTCCAGGAGCCAGTGTTGGCGCATCACCCGAACTGATCCAGATGGCCGACAAGATCATTATCGAAGTCAACACCGCAGCTCCCTCGTTCGAAGGCCTACATGACATCACCATGACTGATCTGCCGCCGCGCCGAAAGCCTTACCTCATCATGTCCCCAGAAGATCGCATCGGTACACCGCACATTCCTGTTGACCCAGAGAAGGTTGTGGCTATCGTAGAGAGCGACTACCCCGATCAGACCCAGCCCAACGCCGCCGAGGATGAAACCTCAAGGGCTATTGCTGCGAACTTGATTGAGTTCTTGAAGCACGAGGTCAACCATGGCCGTCTGCCAGAGAACCTCTTGCCTATTCAGTCTGGTATTGGAAACATTGCCAACGCTGTTGTTGGTGGACTTGCCGTATGTTCCCTCCTTTTTGAATGATTGATGCTTCATACTGACAGACACAGTCCGGTGGCGCAAACTTCAAGAACCTCAAGGTATGGACCGAAGTCCTCCAAGACTCCTTCCTGGACCTCTTCGACTCTGGCAACCTAGATTTCGCGACGGCAACTTCGATTCGCTTCTCTCCTGACGGCTTCCACCGCTTCTACGAGAATTGGGATCGCTACGCGCCCAAGCTGCTACTCCGCTCCCAGCAAGTCTCCAACTCTCCCGAGATCATTCGACGTCTCGGTGTCATCGGCATGAACACTCCTGTCGAGGTCGACATCTACGCCCACGCCAACTCAACCTGTGTCATGGGTAGCCGAATGCTCAACGGTCTTGGCGGATCCGCCGACTTCCTTCGCTCTTCCAAATACTCCATCATGCACACGCCCTCATCGCGTCCCACAAAGACCGACCCAACTGGTGTGTCTTGCATCGTACCCATGTGCACGCACATCGACCAGACAGAGCACGACCTCGACGTCATCGTCACGGAGCAAGGTCTCGCTGATGTTCGTGGTCTATCACCCAAGGAGCGTGCCCGCGTCATCATCAAGAAGTGCGCACACCCCGACTACGTACCCATCCTAGAGGACTACTTCAACAAAGCGGAGTTTGAGTGCCTGAGGAAGGGCTGGGGCCATGAGCCGCACCTGCTGTGGAACAGCTTCGATATGCACAGGCATTTGAATGACCACGGCACTATGAGGCTGCCCAAGTGGGACTACAAGAGTTAGGAGAGGGGCATGTAGAGATAGAATATAAGTGTTTGGATGTAGAGAATGTACGCGATCGACTTACTCCAGTAGTAGTCCAGATGAAACATGACAATGTGAAACAGCAGATCAATCAGTTCATACGCGACCAATAACAAGTAAAACGGGATATATGCTTTTTATGGTCCTCGTCGTGTTGTGGACAGACATGCTCCTTCTACACTTTCAACCTCACGACTGCGACCATCGACGCTCTCGTCTATCCTGCACGACACCTTTCTTTCAACAACGGCATGTCGCGTGTTTGACTAGCGCGGCACCGGCGAGCATGTTGCACGCGGCTCGACTATAGGATCGAGCGATGATGCAGGTGGATTGCCTCTTCTGCAACTGGTACCACGGATGCCACCTCAGACGAGAGCATGACGTGGGCGTGGATGTTTGATGCAGGTGTCGAGCCGGAAAACTCTGCTCAGACCAGGCGTTTCCGTGCATATGGCATGGACGCGCTCTTGCCGCGAAAGTCGGAATCGTTCGCTCGTTGGGAAGTGGATTGCCACCGCTAGAGCTACCCGGACGTGGACGCGTCGGCTGGCACCATGTGACTGCGCGGCTCACAAGCGGCTTCAGGCTCTTGCAGATGAGCATGCGCCCGCCTCTGCCCTCTTCCACCACACCGAGACGCGACGCAAGAGCCTCACAGCATCCCTGACATCTGCTGCCACATTCTGCGCGCCCTTTGCGAGCTGTTCCGCGGTGCCCAACAAGGAACTGCTCCCGCCCGTTCGCGCGTCTTCCCGCTATCTCGCGTGCTGCGCACGAACACGGTCCACGGTGCTGCTACGACACGTCTCCGACCATCCAACTCCCACCGAGACCCGCCATTGGGACGTTTGCTACCCTGACATCCTTACCTGCATCTGTATTTTTGGCGCAGCTGCTTCCACTTTGACTGTGAATTGCACTCCCAGCGCGAGTCGCTAGTTGCCTCCTACCCCGCCGCCACGCCCGCGAAACCATGATGCGTAAGTCGCGTTCCCCAAGCCGACTTAATTACCCCGGTACTCACGCTGCCATTGCACCAGCAGAACACGCCCAGGCCACCCACACAGCAACTATTGCTACTGTAAACAACGCAGAGCCCCAGCACTCGCAGGAATCAGTCCAGTCTGCTGTGTCTAGCACCTTCTCGGCACCGGCACTTCCTTCCTCGTCGAGCAACCTCTCCACGGCCACCACTACGGAGACCGACCTCACGACCCCGTCCTCGACCAATGTAGCAGACCAAATTAAACCTACCGAGGCCCCAATGCCGGAATCGTCAAGTCAGAGTACTGGTGGGCAGGTGCGAGCGGCACCACGCATCGATACCGCTGCTGCCAACGCGCTCCAGATCGGTGACGCAGCAGCTGGTCCCATGCCACTGGAGTCCCCCGCAAAGAGCTCCAAGAGGACTGTAGATGGATCTCTCAAGAGCGCCGGGCTAGCGCCTGAAACTCCATCGGCGCCCGCCCATTCACACAAGAGGAACAAGAGCATGGATACACACTCAGGTCGCATTGGAGAGGTGCGTATTATAGCTCCAGGCCAAATTTACAGTCTGCTGACGCGAACGCAGCTATCCGCACAGCTCAAGACGCGCCTTTCCTACGCCATGGTCAAAGTCCAGAACGGCTGGGAGAAGCAGTCGCTCGACGAGCTGGAAGAAAGCCAGTCACAGCGTGGCTCGCCCAACTCTGCTCCTGGGAGGACTGACCATCTAGCTTTCGAATCCCCTGCTACCATCGATCGCCAAAGAAGACCGAGCGGCGTTTCTGACATCTCAGACCAGATGATCATGTCCCCGGCCTCTGATCCAACCCGGTCACTTGCAGGGACTCCAGCCTGTTAGTCGACCCCCAAAACTTACTCTAAACATGCTAACATCTGCCAGCCTACTGGCGACCAGGTACCCGCCCTGCTATGAACGCCGCGGCAAACCTCATATCCATCACTGGCGCACAACACGGCTATGGCCTCGCACCAGCCCCAACCTTCCAGAGTGGGCGAAGACGACGCTCCAGCGTCTCACACGTACCTCCTCCTCTTCTCGGCGCCAGCCAAAGGAAACACTACAGTGATGTAGGAGCGGGTCCACGGTCACCAGCTACCCCTCGAGCAGGCATCCTTCGCATGCCCAGCCAGCAAGCCGAGAAGGACGCCGTCGATACACTCCTCTTCATGAGCAGTCCCAACAACTCACAGCGCTTCCCAGCCGGTGGCCAACCAGCACCAAGTCCACTCCGAGCCGAAGCACCGCAACGACGCGTCATGTTCGAAGCATACCCACCACAAGACAAACGCGCCATGTACCAGCCATCGATGCCCGCACCGCCCCACCACCACCAACACGGACCGTACCCCGCGTACCCAGCGAGATAACAGTAAGAGCGTCTCCGATATGAGAATCCACTCCCCACCCCCTCTTCAACACTATTCTTACGGCTCGACGATCGCATTGCATGGCTGGCGTTGAGATACCCCACTGCACCTATGTTCACATTGTTACTGTCAGCCACCAATCTCCACACCGGACGCATATGTTGTTCATGCCTCGGATGCTTTGGGAGGTTGTATTGATATCGCTTGGCTCCCTTTCTTGTATGAGCTCTGCTCCATTACGCTTGTTTACTTTGGCTCTCTGGCTGTGGCTGTTTTTGGCCTCGAGTAACATTTGTATGTTTGAGCGTGTGGGTATGTTATGAATAGGTATTATGACTGTGTAACGAATAGATGATATATGTATATTTTGATGTGCGGGTTTGTGCGGGTGATGGTGATGGTGATATGTGGGGTGGCGATGTATCGAGTACGGGCAGATGGCACTGATGGGGTCGTTAGAAGAGAGAGTGACGGTAGTGACGCGACTGACATGTGGACGACGTGCGGAGTGCGTGCAGTATGTACATATATGCATCATGTGATGAAGTTGCAGTAAAAATTACTTGTATGGACATTCCAAGTCGTCTGTGAGTCGAAGGCCTTGAGGAAGTTATGAACGGAATATGTCTCATAGTCAATAAGGTCTTCGTTTGCATATGTACGCGGTTCTGCACTTTGAACTTGTCCAAACAACTTATATCCGCTGCGCCTTGATCACGACATACCTGCCCAGGTGGGTATCCATACCTTGCCGCTCGTATTCGCAACTAATGGCCGGATTCCAGTGGCTACACATCCTAACAGGAAGGTTCTCCCTTTGCATTGAGCTATTTGACTTTCTATCGCTTGCAAATTCTATCATCCGGGAATAGGCAGTTCCGGTATCGCTCGCGTCGTTTGCGTTGTAAGTGTGTCGTCTAAGGAAACTAAAGAGGTGCGATGCAGTCTACATTTGTGAAAAGACCCGCCGATGGCGAAAGCTTAATGCAATGTAGACTTCTAGGAGGCATGTTCCTAACTTAACTTATCTCTCGAACGATATGCAGCAGTCGCACATACCTCAAGATGTCAACGTCATCTAATTCCAGGCATGGCTACTACTACGGAATGTTTCGACTACACAAATTGCATGGGCTCCGGCATATTGTTTTCTAAGACTACGTGCGACGAAAGTTTCCGGTTCATCGCCACGCCTCTTTGGTGTGGAGTGGGGTACTCTATCATCTCACGTTATTTCAGTTACTCTCCGTGATATCTACTCCTTGTAACACCGTCCATTGGTCTCCTGTCCGTGTTGTTGGACGCGTCGTAGTTTACATGTACATCACAGTATTTGTGACCTTAAGCCTGTAGCCTGCAGTTACTGGCTCCAATTTGCAGACTACGCATTCGCGACTATTTGGGTGCATCAGCGAATTGAAGAGGTTTACCGACGACATGGTCTTTTTCGCATTGGAGAGACTGGGTTATATCACAATGTTATTTTTCTAGATAAGTTGACGTAATGTCTTACTAAAGCACTAACACATTATCTCCCTAGGGCCTGTGTAAAAACTAGTCAGAGTGAGCGGTCTTGTGATAAGCATAACTGATTTGGTGTTATGTACTTAGGCAAAGATGAAAGTAAACCACCGCCAAGCGAGCCCGGGATTCAGATCGTTCGTGTTGAAGAAAAGCAAGGGTTGTTTTAGACGATACAAGCAAGAGAGGTCCTCGTTGTATGATTCATCATCTTAGAATTTTGGTGGGAGTGGAAAATTTAGCATGTCTAGTCAAAAATTGTCCTTCACCACCACCATCATGATAACCCCTCTTTTTTGAATCTTGTGTTGGACGAAAACTTCCAAAATGAAAGCTTGACTTGATCAACAGCTCTACGTGTTGCGGTAGCGTTCTCATTGTGATTTGTAGTCGTTTTAGGCCGATTGGTGCGGAAGTCCAAAAAACGTCCTTCACGGCCACACCACCAACACCTCCTATTCAAGACCATGATGATCGACGAGGTAGCAAAAAGAAAGCCCGACGTGGGGGTCGAACCCACAACCTTGAGATTTGATACAATCGTGTCTGTTAGGACGTGATAACTAAGAGTCTCACGCTCTACCGATTGAGCTAGCCGGGCTGATGTTGCTTTCGATGGAAGTTTGGCCAAACGAAACATTTATAATGTTACAATAAAGCTCTCGAGCTCCCTAACAATCGTATAGAGTCCTTCGATGTGAAGTTTGGATCGAGATGGAAAATTTTGTTTGGGCATGCGGGTCGGGACTTATCAGATTTTGCCAATACCCGAAAACCCCGCCTTTGCCAACCAGCCACCCATCCATCCGGTACACGGAAAAGACAAGCTCTTTACTTGCTCGCGCTACAGTTCGGGCGCGCTATCGTGGTGTATGCATCTCTATTGAACCTAGCACAAGGACTACTGCAATGGTCGGAAACAATAGATGTGGCTCCAAAACCTTACAAGTCGTTCGCGCATCACTGTTCTGCCTTGTAAGGCATGTTTTTGCTGCCTAGTCAAAACATGCAAGTAATATGCACGACACCGCTCCAGCGGACACCCTTGTCAATCTCGTACGGCATGGATTCTAGAAAGAGACGAGGTATGCCTCCCGCATTACTGTATTGCGACAAGAGACGCGTGCCAACGGTGGCGAAGCACGAAGATGGTCTCATAGAGGCGCATATAAGCTCATCGTGCATGAGCTTGAGGGATGTATACGAGCTTACTAACGGTCGTTAGACCAGCCTCCCTCGGTTGATTATCATCCTCGATGCATGTAAGTTTGTGATGCACACACGTTCGGTGCTCAGTGCGTTGTGGTGTACTCAGGGGTCCGATCCGACGGGTGATATTTGAAACGTCGATAATGTGCCGCTTAGTGGTCTGGATACGAGGCAGAATGGGAGGCTTTCCGGACCTGCATCGCACGGGTCGAGGATGATACAAGTAGATGGTGCGCTTTGGCCGAGAGACGGTCAGTATTATCGGGTCGACCAAGGATTCGTTCCGATGTAGTTGCGATTGCGCCGATCGCTCGCGTGCAAGGGGTAAACACGTGATGTCATCCTAACATCAAGCTGTGCCGCGTAACGCGTCAAGTCGAACCCAAACACTCGAACAACTCCGTGCCCAAAGTCTTGTCGGTGAATCCGCTACTTTTCAGTCATATCCTTGATAATTTGATGTTCGACCATGCCACGGACGCGAGGCGACGCAAGGAGTGGCGCTGATGCGGAATGCGTTGCCAGTCAAGATCAGGAGAAACAGCCGAGAGACACTGCGTCTGGAGTGCAAAACGCGGAGTCCCCGAGAGAATCTGCCGGTCAGAAGAGGAAAGTGACATCCGAAAATGAAGCATATGCAAAGCAACGCCGAATGAGCGAAAGACAGGGAACAGCTGCTTCGGTACGGGCCGAAAAGAAGGAAGAGCAACCGAAAGAAGAAGATCTGGAACAGCAGAAACCACGACTCACGACACCAGATCTGGAATATGATTCCGATCGTTCCAAGCTACGTGACCCGAGACCAACTCCGGGCCGCAGGGCACGCCCGCGTTGGGATGACATCAGTGCGCCCCAAGAGATCAAAGATTGGGTCAGCGACACCTTCTACATACCCAAGCCCACGAAGCCTCCTGGACGTCTGAACGCCGCCCTTAAGGATACAATGTTCAGAGATGAATGTCGGCTGAACCCCTTCGCACATTTCCACAAACTGTATATATGCTATGACAAGGGACGCGAGGGCTCATCCACATACGATCAAGGCGGCTTCGAGCTTGACTACGAGAAGGTGAATGATTGGATGAAACCACAAGCCTACAACAAGAGAAAGATGGTGCGTGGCATGGAGAAAGCAGTCGAACGACGAACGACTGAGCAGCAGAAGATGTTCGATTTGTTCTTTTTGGCCAAGTGGAACGATGACAGAGGTATCGGTCACTCCGTGGAGAACTATGTCAAAGACCAGGTGTCAAAAGATATCGGCGTGCCATGGCATCAAATCGGTCCGGAGCACGTGCAGCAATCGCGTGACAGAGGCTTCGAGCCTGTCAACTTCTACGACTGGTGGAAGGAGCCCACTGAAGAGGAGGAGAAGAGAATGATGAACATGATGTCAGGAGCTAGTTTGAGAAAGGACCTGTAATTACATAACCATCTCTGAGGAAGTTGTAGGGAAATATCACTTTGACACTACGGTAGTCTTTCCTCCGCTCGTATAACACAAGCTAATCTCAACACGTCTCATTCTGCCGCCGGAAGACGTCCATACATTAGGCCCTCCGAAGAGCACATCAGGCCGTCTAAAGCGGACCGTCTCACGGCTAAGCGAAAAGCTTAACCTACAGATGCCACGCGTCTCAGCAATCCCGCTGGCTCTTGGTAAGGCAAACAGCGAGGCGGAGTCCCCGAAGTGTGGTCACCTGGGTCCCGCTGTATCATTCCACGTATTGTAATGTAATGTAACAGTGAGATGTAGCTCTCGGTACATGGGTTTTGGGCATCTAGGGGAACGTGCCGCGTAGTCTATCTATTCATAGTAGTGTAGCTGCCTGAATTTTCTCCAGGACATGTGGGGTGTGGGGTGTGGAGTTTCTGATACAGTGCTTGGAGAAGTGACGGAGTGTGGAGACTTTCGCTCACTTCGTCTTGACACCGGGTACGTGAATGTAGGTCCGATCTTACTATCAGAATCGGATTGACAACACTGTCAGATGCTCTTGTCCAAGAGTCCACGGAGACACAGTCACAGCAGCGAGCATTAGTCTCGCAGTATCAAGTGACCACCTGTAGAGACTACACTCGCCTAACGCGGGTATCGCCCTTGACAAGTGACGGAGGTAGACGCCTTTTCTTCGTGTAGGGTCTAGTCCCCTTGCGTGCCCATAGCTTCAACACACCCACTTCGACCTCATCATGCATACTAGCCAGGTGCCATCACCCACGCCAACACGTAGTTTTCATTCAAGCATCGCCGAACACTTCGACGGGCGATACCAAATGCAAGTCTACCACGCCAGCGGGTACTTGACATCATACGTTTGACATCATATCATCCTTCTAGAGTGTTCATGTGCCCAAATATACATTCTTTCCATGCAGGACCGCGTACCCCTTCCCACGATACCAGACGCAAGTATACGGCGGTGACGAGGCCTACTCCAGGCAGCAATGCAGGAACATACCAACCGAAACCAGACCCAAAGTCCGGTCCGACAATGTGAAGAACAATGTAGGGCGCGCATCGAAGACACAGATCGACAGGGACGGGACGCCGTTCCACGGAGGTGGTTAACTTCAAGGTTCCATGCTAACGGTACCTACCGCTGTGCGGCAAGCCATCACCAGACGCACGGTGTATCGTGACGAAAACTTTCAACACCAACAACGCCCAAGCGAAGCAGAATGGCATGATACCATCTACAAGCGCCAAATGCTGCAGGGACTCGCGTGTGTAAACGAGAGGAAGTCACACGCGTCGCGCAACGGATGAGGCAGGTAAAACAGCGGTCCAGGCGACGAGATCGTGCATCGTGCAGCGGACGTGGACGCGGATCAGGACACTCTACATTAGCTGACGCTAGCTAGCATGTATGTGATCACTGGTGTATTGATGCGCGTGCTGGCCTGCAACGGCTCAGGCTGTCTTCAAGGCAGAGAAAAAGAAACAGCCCGGGCGTGGCCCGCAGCGCAACAACCCTGATTCGTGATAGTGGGGACGGCACTATTTTGACTCGACTGGGTAACCGATCCTGTCTTTTCGTTCTTCTTTTTCTTCCGTAGATGCGCACTTTACTTGGTTGGGTAACTTTAACGCGATGGGGGTACGAGGCGTCCGACTTGTACTCGGGGTTGAGGCTGTGCTGGGTTTAGGCGGCCAATCAGGGGTCCTCACTTCCGGGTTTGTCACGTGGTTAGGCCCTTTCGCGTCTAGGGAACCTGCAGTAGTTGGCATCAAGGTTCGCAAGGTGGTGTTTGAAACGCAATTGACACTCGGTGAAACGAAAGATTGGTCGAGGCTTTGTGGGCGGAAAATTATCTTCATTGCATATGTGTGACGAGACTCAAAGCTCGACCTATCGAACACTTGCCAGATCTGACCTATTAAGTAACTGCCAAGCTATACACTTTAACATACATGTTGCACAGCCTCACGACTGATAGTAAGGATGTTGTGAATGTCTGGGGTCACGGTACATTGCCGATGCACTTTGGTCGTAAACCCGCTGACCTGATGCAGTAGGTGGCGAGTAATTCGGCATCGTGGCATATGCTGCTCGCTCCGTGGAGGCTGTGTAAGCGATGTTGTGGGGCGTTATTGGTTGCTGGGCGACCGGATATGGGCTGTAGCCATACACTGATGGGCTCGTGGGTGCACCGGTGTGCAGTGATGGTGAGGGGTGATGTGCGTAGGGCGACGTTTGATCCCATGTGGCAGGCATGTTGGAGCCCAGTGGTGGCTGAGTGTATAGATACTGAGACGAAGTGACCGATGAATGATGTGAAATCCGGTCGGCTGTAGCGGTAGGCATGGCGTATGTCTGTGGAGATGACCATGTTGAGTATGCGTCGTTGTCGAAGCTTGACCAGGAATGGCGACTTGATCCGTGTGTTGGTGTGGACAGGAACGTATCGTACATGTGGGAATTGGGGGAGAGGTAGTCATCGTCCTCGGCATAGTTCGACAGGGCCGGTGTACCAGAGTCGGATGGAGAACTTGGGGCATTGGGAAGGGTGATGCCCTGGTTCTGGTATCTTCGCACGAGGACCGTATATCTTGACAATATTAGGAGATGGTGGGACAAGCAGTAGTGAACAACGTACCTATTCTTGATATCGTTCTTTGATCTTCCAGGAAAATGTTCCCGTTGGATGTCTTTCCAGTGTCGTCCGAGTCGCTGGACTGCGTCAATGAGTGTTGAGTCCTACGCAGCACCTGTCAGCAAGCCGAAAGCGGTTTTTGTCTGAGAGACTGCTGGCACTGACATCTAAGTCGCGCCACTCGCTTCGATCAAGATCCGGATCAAGTGACTGCTGCCACCGCTTCGCGCATTCTAAGGGATAGTCAGCAACGAAGTAGTAATACATCGTAGTACTTACGGTCTGCGCTGCGACTTCCGACACAGCTTGCGACCACTGTCCATCTGTTGATAGTGGAGTCAGTACCAGCATGTGCTTCCGATTGTTGAGCCATACTTTTGGCCGTATTGTTGTACCCCTCTTGAGAGCAACTGATCTTCACTCTTTGACCACTGCCCCTTCTTGAGACCTCCTGCTACTGAGTTGTGCCACCGTTTTCGACAATCTTTGTTCGTTCGACCAGGGAGGCTATCGGCGATTCTGCACCTACGGGCACTGTTAGTTGTGGGCTTGAGTGGGGTAAAAGCAACATACCAATCCTTGACTTCTCCTTCCACGACTGATGATGCTTGGTTAGCTTGCTTGGAGAAAACTGATATGCAGAGACTGTTGCATAGCTGCGGAGCATAGAATACCACATGGGCTGTGTCTCATGCAACTGTGTAACTTACGTTGGGCCTCCACCTCTTCGCGGAGCTTCTGATCTTCCGCCAAAGACCACTTTCGAGGCTGGCGAATGGAATTGTCCATAGTGATTGGGAGCAGATGACGATGCTGTACTCTAGGGTATCCGGATGTAATCAAAGATCTCTTGCAATGGACGGCAGATAGGATAATATGGGCAAAAGAGATGACAAGAGTTGTTTGATGATGTTGCAATAAATTTGAGTTATGTCAACTTAGTAGCAGTGACCCAAGGACTTCGTACAAGTAAAGAGTGCAAGACTATCAGCAATGTAGACATCGTGAAGAGACGACCTCGAGCGGAAAGCTAGCATAATAGTGTTTCAGCGCCTTGGCAAACCAGGTCCTTGGATTTTCCGGAGGGAGAGACGGCAAACAAGCTGTATGCCAAGCTGTAATGTTCGACGGTGGTTCTCGGTTCGGCTAGTGGACGGCGCAACCTACAGCGTTTTCGAAACAGCCCAGTAACGAACATGTTCCATGCAGCTGGACGAGGCTTTGCAGGCCATGACGCGTGCGTGTATGGTTAGTGCATCGTCTGACGGGCCGTTGACCAGGTGGTGTGTACAGCCCCCAAAGGATTCCCGCACTGGCTAGGTCCCTGTAGGTAAGGCTGCATGGACCATACACCGCTAACCCCAAGGAACTTCAGAACTTAGCAGCCGGTTTGAACAAGCTTATTGCTCCACAAGATATGCCATGTAGTCGCTAGGAACAGCAAATTGCATAGCGTGCCTGGTGTAACAGCCACTTGTTGCTCAAAGGCTTGCTTGGACCCTTTGTGGGCCTATTCTGCTCAATGGTGGGAAGTTCGCTGAACTCGCGTAGAACCAAGAATTCGGAGATCTATCATACGGTGAATGCCTTGCGGAACATTAGCATCTCAGACGCCGAAAGATGAAGTCCATCCATCGATAATTTCGAGGTGGTTTCAAAAACGTGACTAGGTGGCTGTGCTCTAGTCCAATATGGGCCAACGCTGATCATCTCGGAAAAGCAGCCGAACAGATCTCTGGAACAGTCTAAGCCATCTGATAGCCACATATAATCGGCGAAGAGAAGTTTGCGATATGCGTGATGGGTGTCTCTGCTGCTGACATCTCGCCACTACTATCAAGCGAAGAGGGAGTTAATACCGCAATGTTCTAGTGATAGTCTGCGCCATGCGCTCGAAGATCCGCTAAGATCTCAGACGGAGAGTGTGTTGTTGTATCGTGTCGTGCCATTGGAACGAGCTCGTTCAGTTGGAGGCGAAGATTACTCCTGGCGGTCAGTCCGCAGTCTTGCTGGTACGACCGGACCAGGGAGGCGATTACAGCGGTGGCGAAGACGGAAATCGGCAGTCAGATCAATTGACCGCATTCCGGTGAAGAGGTGACTATTCGTGTCTCGTGTATGTTCACGTAGGAGGTCGTGAGAGGTACATGCTAGGAAGTGAGAGCGAGGCTGGGAAGAGCGTTCATCCCTAGCGCGTGGATCGCGTTCCATTCGGCAGGTACCGTCAGCCACATTTGGCAGCCGCAGATTACTCCGCACTCCCACAACACACCAAACGCAGCGACCCTCATTCGCATAACTAGCTGGTGTGCACTGATTAAGCAACGCGCTTTTATCGCTCGATCGCTTTAAGTTATGTCCGGGTCTACCGCTCCTCGTGCAAGGGCTGAGGGGTAGGGCTGAACGAGTAACATCACACAACCGCATTGGTGCAAGGTGATATCGAACCATGTAAGAAAGAATGCAATGTACATTGAATTGATTCGACGAGTCAACGGTGCTTTCTCGGTGAAGAAGCTGTGCACCTGATCCAGACTGTCTTTAGCACTACTGCTTCGTCACAGAGTCTGGCCTATTATATCTTGTGTCAATAAGCTGCTTCTCTCTGAGCAAGCATACCTTTAACGACGGCTAGATCACAGCCACGCGGCATGCGTTCTAATCCTCCTGCCACTGTGATGTTCAACCAGCGGGAAGCGCAATACTTGCATCGGAATGAACGGGTCGAAACCGTGTTCGTTGTAAAGCGGAGCGGTGTCTCCAGCACTGGATTGAGAGCGTAGATGTTGACAAGAGCGCGCGCACGCGTCGGCTGACGCAGACGTATCATCCCTCGGAGCTGAGGATAGTAGCGTCGCTATCGGATGACGATGCTTCAGGTCTTGCCCATGAGTCTCTGCGCTTTCGCAAGCAGAACTGTGCTCTCTCGTCCGAGCTTCCTCTGGCCATTGGGTCCCCTAGCTTTGGCCATGGTCTTCCTGAAGCGCTCACGCTCAGCAATCTTTTTTGCGCGCTCCTTCTCCGCCTCCTCTCTGGCTTTTTGCCGCGCCTCTATTTCCTCCCTCTTCTTCCGCGCCACTTCTGTCTCTTTCAAGAATGGCTGTGGTCGAGCTCGTCGCTGTCGCCTCTCCCAAGTCTGTGTGGATTCCGGTTCGGGCGACTTCTCTTCCAGCATCGCTACGCGATCGGGGTGTGGCTCCAAGGTGGGCTCTTGGACGGGTTCGGTAGGCTCCTCATCGTCGTCTTCGTCGTCGTTGGCAGACTCGCGGTCGTAGACAGACTTGCGCGGTGTCGTCTCTTCGTTTTCTTCGCGGGCTTTGAGCTTTGCATACTGCTTCTTCAGCTTTGCCTTGCTGATAAGGCCTTTCTTGATCTTTTCGACTGAGTACCCAATTAGCAGTTGAAGTGTATATGCCATGCAAGCAAATGTCGGTACTGAAGGCTCCCGCAATACGCCTGTCTAAATCCCTCCTCTGCGAGAAATCTATGCGTGAAGAACGTTGGAAAAAACCTACTCTTCCGTCTATGGGTGCCATCGGGTAAGTTTGCGGGACCGATGTCGAAGCGACCCTTCTGCTTCTGCTTTTTCACGGAAAACTTTGCGTCTCCCTCATGCGGCCGTTTGACTGCCATATCGACGGCTGTGGTTGTGTTGAGAAAGTTCGGAGTCGCGGTATGCAGATTGTCGCAAACGCGTGCCGACTTTCTCAGCCTTGGCAAAGTGGGGCGCGATCTAGAGCCAGTCACATGGTCTTCACCACCGCGGCGGTCCTGCACTCATGCCTCAGCTTTGTGCACCATCGCAACTATGCACCAGCAAAGACGCAGCCCGCGGGGACGTGCAGGAACACCCGGATGAGCAGTGTGTTCTTTTTCGTCGTGTGACATGCTGCGTCGGCCAATACCGGTCCGGCGGCATGGGCGACTTTATCAGCAGCGATTAGGAACTTTCCGTCTTGTAACAAAGATCACAGCGCGTCATCTGTCCCGGTCCCTGCGTCCCTCCTCTCCGCACCTTCAACTGGGGCGCTCCACGCTGTTTCGTCCTAAAACTGGGCAGTATGACTGTACAATGAAGCGCCCACTGGAGCCAGCGCACCCCGTTTAAACTGGAAACTCTTACTCATATCATTCGCCGGGCCAGCAGGTGCTCCAACCGCTTGACCTGACGTCTCCGCCATCCTTACGACCTGCCATTTCAGTGCTCCACGTCTTTTGCGCGCGCAAACCCGCCACTATTCTCTGATACTTTGTCAAATCTTTGTACTCATGCTGTCTATCGCAACAATCTGTTACAACCATGCCCATCTTTCATGATCCCCATGACAGCCCGCCAACATCGTCATACTTGCCTCAGGCCTCGGCCACCGGCTTTGAAATACCGCATACTCCGGGATTTGCTGTAGAAAGGAATATGGAATCCCACATGGAGCCAGAATCGCCGAAAGCCGACATGCTGCAGGATATGGACCCTGGGTCGCCCAGCCAAATGCGCAAGCCGTCTATGTTCGGACGGAAGGACTGGATGGAAAGGATCAAACGAACGAACAGTCCATCGTGGCTGCAGCGGCAAGGTGTGAGTAGCCGGGGAACTAGGAAACGTCCGCCGCGGTGCTTGATAATCCATGTAAGGAATACTGATCATGTATCACAGGGCGATTCCGTAGCTGAGCGCGACTCCTCGACCCGACCGGCATCGCAAGACCGACCGACTACGCCTCAATCTTCATCCGCCGAGCTGCAAACCTCCCGAATCTCCACCCCGGAACATCTCCGTGACCCTGCAGCGGTAGGTCTGGATATCGAGCGTCCACGATCGGCATTACACTCTGGAGACTTTCGAGAGAAGAGAGCGGGCACGGCGTCTGAGAACGACTCCTCAACTTCAGGCTTCCTAGCGACTTCGCCGGTGGTGCCTTGGAATCGCTCGTTCCCTTCTGCTGCTTATACTTCGAACCGTAATGACGTCTCGTACCCGGTGTCACATCACCCAGATGCCCGGATACCCGCCCGAGCGCGAGCAATATCGCAGTCATCACAGTCACCGTTTAGCTCATTTGCTTTTCTACCGCCCACAAGCCCGCTTGTCCAGCAAGCAAACAACACAGACTTGGACTTTTCCTCTAGGCCAGGCTCGCGGCAAGGGTCCCGGAGTCCCGACAGAAATAGTCGCCGGCATACCTACTCTCCTGCCTCCTTTCATGATTACCAGTCCACTCAGATGGCGCGATCCGCCACCGGAACTCCGGCAGCTCGACACATTCGCCACAGTGGTTCAATGCCATACCAGGCACACCAACCGCGACGATCAATGACGTTCAATCAGTCTGAGCCTCAATCTCAGTCGCAAACACCGTTCCTACACGCTCGACGCCCCTCCATTTCCTCGGAAGCATCTCCGCTGCAACACGCCCCCATGGTCGGTTCATACGAGGAGTCTATACTTCGTGGGCGTATGTCTACTACACCTTCGCGGCCTCTTGATTTCGTCGCCAAGATTGGCGTACTTGGCAAAGGACAATGCAAGTCAAGCCTCAAGTGCCCACCGCACGTCACGGTCCCCTTTCCAGCCGTATTTTACAGCTACAACACCGGTAACGGTAGGATCTCAGATAATGAGCCGAGCCCTTATGTTGGGCACATTGACTTGGAAAATACTTTGCCACCGCCAGATGAAAGCAGCGAAGCTAGTAAACGCAAGCGACGACATGTGGTGCCAGCCCCCGAACAAGACGATCTTGACTTCAAGCTGAATCTTGGTGAAGAGGAGAGTGGACAGAGCGTGAAAGGAGACCTTCGTCGTAAAGAAAAGAAAAAGCGACGATCTACGTCTCCCAAGGCACCTCCAGGGGGATGTTACCGTATACCGCCGCAGGGGCAGCTACAGATTGTGCTGAAGAACCCAAACAAAACCGCAGTGAAGCTCTTCCTCGTGCCATATGACATATCGGATATGGAGCCAGGTCAGAAAACCTTCATCAGACAGCGCAGCTACTCTGCTGGACCCATTATCGATATGCCCGCATCTTCACGGAAGAACCTAGGAACTGACCGTCCAGAGGCTGCCCTCAGCAACTCAGATGATCCGAACGACCGACCTATCTTGCGTTACCTCATACATTTGCACATATGCTGTCCTTCAAAGGGTCGTCATTACTTGTACAAAAGCATACGGGTCGTTTTTGCGAATCGTGTACCAGACGGTAAAGAAAAGCTGAGGAATGAAATCCAGCAACCTGAGCCTAGATACAGCACGTACAAGCCGACGCGAGATGCATCATCGCTGCAAAAGACACATCTACCGGGAGCTCAACCCGCTACGGACAAGGCTTTCCGTCGACGCAGCGCTGGATGGCCACTATCTCAATCTCAGCAGGCGTATGATCAGCTCGATGGATTGAGGCAGCACACTCCATTACCTCCTCCAGCCGTCAAGTTCACTGGTGGTACCACCAACTCTTCAGCATCAAGCGGCTTCAACTCGCCTATGCCGGAATTACAACCCATACCTTTCACCATCGGCAGGCTCGCTGCAATTGAGTCACGGCCTATGTCTCGCGATCGCATGGATATTGATCCGAAGAGCCCCTTCAGAACACCCATTACCTCGCCGCGAGCTGGCGTGAGTAGTCCGAAAAGTCAAAGCGATGGTACCTTTGAGAAGCTCAGTAAAGGTGACATTGGCTACGGCGGAAATGCATTCTCGCCGCTCGGCAGCCCGTCTGCTCCGCCCAATGCTGGTCTACTATCACAGCGATTGCGCGGTTTGGATGTTCAGCGCGACGAGGAGGAGTAAGCGTTTTTCATTTACAGGAGTTTGGACAATCCCTATGTGATCTGTTTCGTGTTGAATACCCCAATGTCTGTTGTTCTTTTACTGGCGTTATACATTGGCCCTGTTGGATGTGGCCCTTGAACGATAGCGTCTTCCATGTAGTTTTATGCTAGATACTATAAATCAGATGAATGCATGAATCTAACATAGTTCCGGAACCGTGCAGCCGACGTGTGCGATGACGCTTGCCGAACTTGTGGCTGTAGGGCTTAGCGTGGTTGCGCTCAAATGTTCGCGAAGAGTGACGTCGGCGATAATTTGGCAAGAGCCGAGCTCTCGTCGGCGACTTGAACAATGAGTATTTATCTATCCGAACAACATCTTTGAGACTCTGAATAATATAGTCGCCTTCTCAGCTCTTTCGAACCGCAATAGATTATCATCGCGACACCAATACCAACCATGGCCTCCAAGCGCGCAGCCCAACTACTCAGCGTCCGTTCCAATGCCTCCGTCATCGGCCGCCAGCCTACACGATTGAGCTTCAACACTGCACGCGCTTTCAGCATCGCACCCAGGTCACAAAACGCATCCATCTCGCAGAGCAGGACAGTGGTTGTAGGAGGTGCGGCGAGGTTACAGGCGACGCCAGTGCAAAAGAGATGGCATTCGCAGGCCCCCAACGACTTGAAGCAGAACAAACTCTACCAATTTGACGATGTACGTCTTGCCTTTATTTCCCATAACATTCTTAACCTATGCGATGGCGTTTCTCAAGCCATCATACACCCCTTCAAACGCACCGCTAACTCATTCAGGTTCTACACATCCTCGAAGCGCCCTCAGACTCACGTCTCCTTATCGACGTCCGCGAACCCCATGAATTCGACGCAAACACTATACCCACCTCTATCAACATCCCTGTCACCTCACAACCTGATGCGCTACTACTAGACGAAGAGGAGTTCGAGGATAGGTTTGGTTTCCAAAAGCCACCCAAGGGAAAGGAAGTCGTCTTCTTCTGCAAGGCCGGGGTGAGGAGTTCAGCGGCTGCAGGAATCGCGAGACAAGCTGGGTAAGTCGGATCCTTCATTGGCACACGCCCAGAGTTCGATAAGCTGGCAAAAGACACTTGCTGGAGAACATTTGCTAACCCGCACGGCAGATACACAAACGTTGGCGAATACCGCGGCTCGTGGCTCGACTGGCAGAAGCGTGGCGGGCCAGGCACAAAATCACCACCGAAACCCGATGGCATGGGCGAACCCAAGGCCCCCACTACCGAGACGAAGCCTACAGCTAGGACAGGTGACAGCGGAGAAGAGGACCTAGGGCCTCAGGGACAGCCAAAGTACCCACCAGGAGGAATTATGGGCCAACAGTAAATTCGCGACGGATAATAGCTAGATTGTGGATAGCTTGATAACATGTGATCCACGGAGGGTGTATATATGATCACGTTCAAAGAAACATTACGTTACTTCCAAGATTATCCAAAAGATGTCAAGATATCTCTCTCAAATTGAAGTATAGTATTAAAAATGTAAAGTACAGGCACTCGGAGACACGTGCATGACGAGAAAGAGAGGAGATGAGCGAAAGAAGGTGTTTCGCTAACGCAACAAAGGCCGAAGTTAGTAACGACCAGTCTTATCGGTCTAAAGCTTGAGCTTGACACTGTTCGAAAGTTAGCACATCTCGACCAGAATCGCAATGTTGGACTAAAACTCACCATCTGCCAGTAAACACCCCGTTTCCTCAACAGCCCCTGGTGATCACCCCTCTCCAGTACCATGCCACTACCCACAACGAATATAACATCCGCCTTCTGGATCGTAGCAAGGCGATGCGCGACTGCAATTACAGTTCTTCCGCCCTCACCAGCAGCGCGCTCAATAGCATCCTGCACCAACTTCTCAGATTCAGAGTCGAGAGACGACGTCGCCTCATCCAGCAAAAGTAACTTCGGTTTCCGCAGTAAGGCCCGAGCAAGACTAAGACGTTGTTTCTGACCACCAGACAGCGACATGCCTTTCGGACCTAGACGCTGTGCATATCCGTCGGGCAGGGAGGTGATGAAGTCGTGAATTTGGGCGTCGCGGCATGCTTGTTCGATGTCTTCGTCCGTGGCGGTGTCGACAGATAAAGCAACGTTTTCGCGTATCGTGCCTTCGTACAGCGTAGGCTCTTGGCTGACGAGACTGATCTGCTTGCGATATTCTGCGGGATCAAGAGTCGTGATATCTTGTCCGTTGTAGAGAATGCGGCCGGATGTTGCGTCGTAGAAGCGCTCGAGGAGAGATATTGTGGTAGATTTGCCGCAGCCGGATGCGCCGACCAGTGCGGCAAATTGGCCTGGTTGGACCTGGATGTTGAGGTTGGATAGAACGGGCACTTCGCGGGTTTTGTAGGTGAAATACACGTTTTGGAACTCGATGCCTACGCCTTCTTCGGGTTTGCTTAGAGGCGGATAGGCAGTGGATGTTGTAGACTTTGGTGGACGCATACTGAGAATGCGGTTCGCGGCGCCCGTGGCTTGGGCCATGTTGGGAGCATACGAGAAGAATTGTCCTGCTGCGATAGCGCCCTGTACGATAGCTTGGTAGATGACAAAGAAGTCTACGGGACTGTACTCGCGGGAAGCCAGCAGGGTACCGCCATACCAGAAGGTAAGGGCCATGCAAGCTAGTTCAATGCTGTCGCTTGCCGCGAAAATAAGAGTGCCATACTTCGCGCTTGAAAACGCTCCTGTGACATGGCCTTTGAGCAAGGTCTCATAGCGCTGGCCGATCATGTCTTCCATGATAAGACTCGATACTGTCCGGAAAGCACCAACAGCTTCTGAAGCAAATTGGCTGCTGTTCTCGAACACCTTCGCGTTGGTCTTGTCAAATTCGAGTTCAATGCGTACACGGAGATATCCAGCAGCCAGGATAAGTGGCAGCGCGGCAAATAGTGCAACAAGCGACAGTTTCCAACCATAGATGAAGGAGATGATGACGCAGCCCACAACGTTGACAATAGCAATGAGCGCAACGGACATCTCCGTTGCCATTAGCTGCTGGATCTGTGTCGAGTCCGAGCTCAGGGTCGACGTAAGAGACCCAGGGCTATGCCCTTGATCGTCGAAGAAGGCAATGCGTTTGCGGATGAGGTTATCCAGGTACTCTTGCCGGTAGTTCTTTGTTATGGCAACGGAGATGAGATGACAGGCCGAGCCCATGAAGAAGTAGGATAGAAAGGTGCTTCCAGCCAGAACACCGAACATGCCTGCCCAGAAGTTGCCTTTGCTGACGAGCTCGTCCATGGGAAGGGTGAAAACATTGACGACGTTTGCAAAAATGTAGGCCTGAAGCGGGTAGACGACACCGCTGGCCAGTACACCCAGAATAGCGACGCTGTATAGGATCCAATGACCGCGTTGTTCGTAGATAAGACGCCCGAAGCTGCCAAAGAGACCTTGTTGCTTGTACTCTGGATCTTCGGCTGATTTGGAGACATCATTGCTCTGCTTGTAGTCTTCATGGATCTCAGTGTCTGCGCTCTTAGCCTTTTCGAGCGGGTCGGCATCAGCGTCTTGTTCCGCTTCCGCTGCGATCTCTTGGGCATGAACCAAGCCGTAGTAAACACCAGCTTCTATCTTCAACAGCTCATCGTGGGTGCCTTGTTCCACGAGAGCACCTTGACGTAAGACCACGATCTTATCCGCGCGCCTGATGGTAGAGAGGCGATGCGCGATAACGATAGTCGTTCGGTTCTTCGATACGCGATCGAGAGCTTGCTGAACAATGCGTTCGGTACGTACATCGATAGCGCTCGTCGCTTCGTCGAGAATCAGTATAGGTGGTTGTTTGATGATGCTTCGCGCGATCGCTATTCGTTGTCGCTGTCCACCCGAGAGCTTGATGCCGCTCTCGCCAACCATGGTTTCGTAGCCTTCTGGTAGTTTGGCAATGAACTCTTCGGCGTAAGCTTCGCGACACGCGTCTTCGACCAATCTCATCTTTTCTTCTTTCGGCAAGTCTTCATATTGGGTACCAATGAGACCGAACGCGATGTTGTTGTACAGGGTGTCGTTGAACAGGAAGGGCTCTTGCTGAACCAGGCCGATTTGAGAGCGCCACCATTTTAGGTCGACATCTTGTAACTTGGTATCTCCGATCCTGATGGTACCAGTGCAAGTGTTTGGGCCTAGATCAGGCTCCTCGTCTTTGCTCTTGTCATCTCCAGCCTTCTTCGCAGATGCTTTCTTGCCTTCATCCTTTGGTACAGCCTTTTTCTTGAACCATCCAGACTCCTGTGTGCTTTCTTTCTTGCTTTCAAGCGTGTCTTCGTGAGGCGATGCGTCGTTCGGTTTCTCATCTGATGCGGCGGCCGTTGTGCCTGAGAGTTCATACCATCGCTGAACTAGTCCCACAATAGTGGACTTCCCTATAGGTTGAGGCAAGTGGTTAGTAAAGAGCCCATAATTTGTAGAATAAGAACTGCTTACCACTTCCGGATGGACCGACAATAGCGGTAACTTTGCCTGCCTCAAGCTCGAGATCAAGGCCTCCGAGGATCTGAACATGTGGTCGGCTTGGATACGAGAAGGCAACGTTGTGAAAGCTGATGTTTGCGTTGGCGGTCACATCAGGCTCCTTCGATCCAGTGGTATCAGGGACCGTTGCATCGATCGTGATGAATAGTTCGGTGGCGGCAGATGATGCCTTCGCGATGGCAATAATTGGGCTCACAACCCTACTGATGTTCGTGATCGCCATCATGACTGAGAACAGAACGACCACTATGGTTCCGACGTCGCCTTTGCCTTCCGAGTACTGCTTGATCCCGAACCAGAACGCAATGGCAAATGTGCCATACATTCCGATCATCATGGGTGACATGACAAGACCCATCAGAGGCGCAGCCCTGCGCTCGTTCGTCGCAGCTTTGTCCAGCAAGGCCTCATGCAACCTTGCCAACTTCGCCTCTGCACCGAATGCAGTAAGGATGCGAACGGATGAGAACATCTCGAAAGCCATGGCAGAAGCATATTCATGATGTTTCTCGGTAATTTTGTGTATGCGGATGAAAGGTGGCAATATGATACCAAAGACCACGAGGATGAACGGAAGCGATGCAGAGGCGACTACGGTGAGCAGTGGGCCTTTGATGAAAGCCACCACATACGCCCCGATAACGAATGCAAGGGACTGGAAGAGTATAGCAAAGTGCTGCGATATGGCGAGTTGGACCGTATTGGAGGAGGTTGTAATCCGTGTGGACACTTTGCCGGGACTTATAGTATCTATCACACTGATTGGCTGTGCGAACAGAGCTCGTAGATATGCGAGACGCAATGCAGCAGAGATTCGAAGGCCGCTGATTCGGATGGTGAGCTATACCAGTGTTAGAAAGATGAAAGCCTCTTCAGGGATCGTGTGCGTACCATTGATATGTAAGATAACACGAACTTCGCGATGAACAGGTAGACAAGGAAGAGGGTAAGCCTGTTGATTTCGGCTTGGAATTCTCCAGCTGTCAAGGTCGTTCCCGGGATGAAGTAGTTGGTGAACGAGCCGACCAATTGACCTGAGTGCTGTCAGTACTTGCGGAAGGCGCCATTAGATTCCAGGCTATCAGATCATACCGAAGACGACGTTCATCAAAGGAAAGGTAACGCCGGACGCTATTGAAGTAACACAGCACATGAATATGAGCCAGTAATCGAGAGTTGTTCCATACGAGAACACTCGCTGCTCGCACGTTAGCCAGGAATAACATCCAAGGTAATCTACTCACGAAGTAGTTCTTCATGCCCGCTTGAGGCACTTTCTTTGCCTTTGACGAGGCAATTCCATCGTGCCCTGCGTCTTCGATGACGCTGTGCTTTTCGTCGGGTCCTGTCTCTAAAACTTGAGTGGCGATCGCAGTGCTCTCCACCCCAGCGTCGACGGTAGGCTGGGGTGGCGATTGACCGTCAGTGACATTGGAGTTCATGGCAGTGCGATACAAAAGAGCGTAAGAAATCGGCAAAGTCGAAGCGTGAAATGAACGATTATTCGATAGTAGAGGAGGTGGTCATCTTAACCGGGGGACAAAGATTGATGCCTGGTAATGTGACTGCCGTATATCGTATTTCAGATGCACCGGACCAAACCGAGTCTGCGTTCCGATTCAACACGCACACCGTCAAAACTCGGAGTGAGAGTGTAGCTGAGAACGATCGCTTGCACCGGGGCCAATGTTCGTCGTGCCAAGTGCACTACGAATCTCAGCCACAGGATACGCTAACCACGCGATATCTCGCTTCACCACCATCCTTCCTAATCGAGCGACTACCTGCGAGACGTAAGGGGCAACGCGCGTCTGTTGTGTTTCAACGCCCAGACTCGATGTCAGTGCGAACCAGTGCGATCGGATACTGAAAAAACGCCCAGCAAACGCTTTCTCTAAGATGTATCGAGAATTGAGCACGCGGGTGTTGGAGTTCCCGGACAGTTTGGGTGTTGTCAAGCGTTCTTCAGAGTGAGCGAACGGTCGTCGGTGCCTGAACGTCCGACTCCACCGATCGACCAGCACTCCTCAGTAAACCTCTCCCTTCCGCACAGACATTGCCTTTCCACAGACAAGCCTTCAGACTTCTCTTAAGCCTTTCAAAATAATAGCAGACGCCTTCGATTGCAACAGCATGCGACGGGGATGCTCATCGGTTTGCTTTCTTGACAACCTCGTAGCTGGCATACCTATCGGGGCAGGTATCACCCTTCGTGCACGTGACTTTGCGAGCGGACCAGTGAGAATGCGCGAGCATACCGAATTAGGAAATGACCATGGCCAAGACATGTGCTAAGTATGGCTGCAAGGATGACGGAGTGACGAAATATTGCTGCCTAAGATCAAAGAGCCCCAGGAAGGTACGATATCCTGTACTTCAGATGTTACTTCACCACACCACTGTGCATGCCTGCCAGTTCCTGTGTAGGTTGCGGCAATGGCGCCTAAGAAGGAATTGGCCATGCAGTGCGCTAGTCCCACTTCGAAGCACACCTCACACTACGATGCCTGAGATCTTCTGCTTACCTTTGCAAGCAACCGGTTCTTCGTACATGATATGATCGCATCCCTACGAGCTCAGTATGGGTACCGCATTCTTTAGTCAGCGGCATCCAGTTGAGGAACAAAGCAACAGAAGTTAATGGCCGCCTTTCAATACTATCAACAATGAAATTTCGATAAGAAGACCTCCTCCCATTTTAGGCCCAAACGTCCCAACAGAGGTCCACCTCGCTATCGCTGAACGTTTCAGATAAGAGTGGGTTGGTTGTACCATGCCTACTGACCCTCAATGCGATCCTGCCGACTCCGCACACTCCTCCCACACTCCATCTCCCTCAAAGCCTCAACATCAGACCTCCGCCTCGCACCCTCCTTCCGCTTCTCCAACCTCACCAGACTCTCAATCAGTCGCTTCATAAGCCACTCACTCTCACTAATACCAGACACCATAGGACTGTCATCTCCGATCCAATCCCAATTCACCAATCCCTCTTCGTTCTCATCTTCAGAAACCATGTTGTCGGTGTTTACATTGCGGTCTAAACGCTCTGGACTCGTCAGACGGATGAGCCGTGTGAACTCGACCCATTCTTCGTATGTGTAGCGCTTGTCGTTGGTCTTGAGGTCGAGAGAAACCTTTTGGATGGACAGGGCGAGGCGGCGGGTCAATGAAGCCTGGGAGGGAGGGCTGGTGATGTCGGCTTCGGCTTCGGAGGCGAGGGCTGGGACGGTCGGGTGGAGAGTCAGTTCTATATCGGTTGCTGCTTCGCGATCTTCCGGGTCGTTCGAAATACTCTCTCTGTCTTGCGGGTCGGAAGAATCTACGATGCCGTCATCAGACCGTGGGTCAGAGACGTCGAAGCCCCTTCTCAATCGCTTCTTTCTCGCTCGTTTATCTGTCCATCGCTGTAACCATCGCAGTAGCCAAGGATGCTTGTCAAGAAACGAACGCCAGATACCTGCCTTGGGCAGTACTGTAAAATCTGCGAGCTCGTCACTCCACTTCTTGAAGTTAGCGACAACAGTGTCGCCTAGATCTGAGACTAGGATAGTCATGGTCGGAACGGCAATCAAGCTCCAGATGACGAAGAAACAGCGCCCGGAATTGGATCTTGGTGCCAGGTCACCGTACCCGATTGTTAATAGACTGACATAACAGAAGTAGAGTGACTGGAAATACGTCAAGTGTTGTGTTCCTTCTTCGGTGATCCAGAACACGACTGCGCCCACACACCAAAGAATCAAAAAAGTGGTGATGGACCAGAATAGCGCCATCCACTGCTTGAACTTCTTCGAATCGGCTTGGATCTTGCGCATAGCTTCAAAACGGTCCTTTTCTTCTTTCAACAGCATGATCTTGGGCTTGGAGGACTTGATGTGTAGAGCATTGGCAACACCCTGCATAGTCGATGTATGCTGGACAGACTCGCCCATGGGGGTTCGAAAGGGCCGTGGTTGACTAGGTCCTGATATCTTTGGAATGCCAAGTCTGCGTTTCCGAACCAGATGGTGGGCTTCTCGTTCCCGGTGACGGAGATCAAACGAGTTGGTAACTGTACGCTCTGCGACCCGCTCGCGCATGCGATCGACATGCTTCTGGACGATCTTCTCATCGCCAAGCTCGCGGACTGCTGTGTAAAGCGACGAGACAATGAGGGCTAGCGTGATAGTTCCGCCCACAGAGTACGGAAAGACAATACCCCTAGTAACATCGGTCGTAGGTACTAGATCGCCAAACCCAACGGTCAGGATGGTTACGTCGCAGAAGTACAAGGCATCGGCAAACCTCCAACTGTCCTCTCCAGCATCTTGCTCGAGTTTCGCAAAGACTGCAGCGCCACCGCCTAACCAGATGAAAAACGCCATAGTCTGTAGAATAAGCGTTCTTTGACTGTCGCTCAAAGCGAAGTTTTCGGGGTAGTGCCCAAGAAAAAAGCCCAGCATGTTGACCATGAGAAGCATAGAACAGATGGTGTAAAACGCCGCAGCCGCAATGGCGTACCAAAATCCTTGGGTATATCCTTGTTCCGGTCGGATTGGTGGTTCGTAAGTGTTCATGCATATCGTTATCGCTATGAGGAAAGCAGATGAAAGATACCACAGAACCACAGTAACGGGTAGGGCAATGATATAACGGATCCTCTGCGTAAAGTTCAGAAGAAGGAAGAGATTGCCGAGAAAGCCGCAGATCAGCGATGCTACGTTGATCCAGTAGCACCATCTCGGGTCGCCGAAAGGTACGCCTTTAAAGTCTGAGATTCGTTCGCCGTTGATGATGTTTTGCTGTCTCCAGGGAGTTACGAGTGCGGCGATTGAGCTCACATTTGCTAGGGGGCCGAGAGTTGCAGCGAGGAGCTTATTTGGTGTTAGCATCTGAACAACGTAGTTCGTCGAGTCGATTTGGAGGTTAAGAGCCATATGAACTTCTTGTGAACACATTTCAGTGCGAATCATCACTTACGGGAATGCCGGTGCTCGCGAACCACCAATCGCTATCCTGGCCCTCCCATTTCTTCCAGACATTCCACCATCTCTTCTCCCCACTGCCTTGTTGTATCAACTGCTCTTTTCTTTGATCTTCCTCTTCATGGGCGTTATTTTGTTCCGACGTACTCGGCTGCCCCGGTTCTTCATGTTCATGCGCCATCATCGGAGCGATCCGGCATCAGACATCGTAACCCCGAACAGTGAGCTGAGCCTTCGGTGAACCCAGAAATGATAACAATAGTTCAGAACGCGAAGTATCCTCAGGCTCGTTCTCCACTGCAAAACTCGAGAAGGTGCGAAACGGCGATCAATACGTCGGGCACGGATATACGCGTGTGACTAGTTGCTGAGAAACTGGCGCTAGAGCGGAAGCGGTGGCGCAGGGAATGTGAACGTGTCTACAGTTGCGAGGAGACACGGAAGATAATACAGAAGTCGGAAATCAGGGTCTAACTTCAGTAGCGAGTTCATGGCCGCGCGTTTGAGCAGGTCTCCAGCAAGATTGCCAGATTCGATGACTCGGCTATCGCGGCGTAGTGGAGACGAATGGTGGGTGCTGGCGTCGATCAGCTGTTGACGCACGCCAAGCTGCGAATGCCGGGGTTACTTAGAGATCAAAAGGTGAATACTTCACGTGCGGTTAGAGATTCTTTGGAAAGCATAGGATGTGCTTGCGTGTTTCATGCCGTGATTTGCGATGATTTTGAGAAAGCGCTGGGATATCTCCTGGTTGTCGGCTTGGTGGCAGTCATGTTCCTTGTTTGGTCGATATATTGTTCAAACTATATACAACAGGTATCAATGCGCTCAATGCTTATTGCGACTTGAGCTTCTCGGTCAGCTCTGGGACCTTTTCGAATAAATCTCCAACAAGACCAACATCCGCGACCTGGAAAATGGGTGCCTCGGCATCCTTGTTGATGGCTGCAATGACCTTGCTGTCCTTCATACCAGCCAGATGCTGAATAGCACCAGAGATACCAGCACACAGGTATAATTGTGGCGCAACGTTCTTTCCTGTCTGGCCCACTTGCAAGCTGTTGTCTGCAAAGCCACTGTCGACTGCTGCTCTTGATGCACCGATGGCGGCACCGAGCGCGTCTGCTAGCGGTGGCATGAGCTTGTCAAACTCCTCCTTTGATTTCAGACCACGGCCTCCGGAGACGACCTTCTCTGCAGAGCCGAGATCGGGACGGTCGGACTTTTGGAGGTCCTCGGATATCCACTCTGTTGAGCATTCGGCCTTGGGGTCGACGCCCTCCTCTACTGTCGCGTTTCCGCCTTCGGTTTCAGGCGCGGGGAACGCGGTGCCTCGGACGGTGATGACTTTGGTGCTGTCGGACGATTGGACGGTCATAATGGCGTTACCGGCGTAGATTGGGCGAACGAATGCTGTAGTCTGGTTAACAACCCTTCGCATATTTCAGACGGTGCCCACTCACTGTCCTCGCTCTCGATGCCGGTAATGTCTGATATTTGCTGTGTGTCCAGAAGTGCTGAGACACGCGGCATTATGTTCTTTCCAAACGCCGAGTGACCGGCAACGACATGTGTGTAACCACCCTTCTTGATGTTCTCGACCAGGAGTGGCGCATAGTTCTCAGGGAGACACTGTAAGATGTTGTTAGTCCCGTGTCATTCCATATCTCTTTAGACTACCAACCCTGTCGTATGCTCCATTCTCGACGTAGATGACCTTCTCTACACCTTTTGACTTGGCTGCCTCATCTGCGGCCGACTTGACCCCACTTCCAGCAATGAAGGCTGTTATTGAGCCTCCAAGCTTTGTCCCTGCTGTGATGGCGGCCAATGACTGTGACACGATCTTTCCTTCCTTCTGCTCGAGAATGGCAAACGTCGACGCTAACCGTGCGAAGGCGGAGTATTGGGGTACGACCGTGGGTTGCGACTGCCGAAGCCGTGTGCGAGCTGTGCGGAGGGCGGATTGACGAGCAGCGGAGAACATGGTGGGCGGGAACAGTGCGATGCCTCTAGGAAACACAGACACGCAAGATTCGAGAAGGTGGTGTAGAATGCCTCGTCCAGCAGTAGTGAAAGCAACCCAACGGCGCGGAGAACTATGACCTCGGTTTGGCCAGGTTAGTTATCCGGCACTAGCCTTGCATCTGCATCGGGGCTGCAGGCTGATCACGTGAGACTACTCCATGCTCCTTAGTGCTCTTTTTGCTTAGGCGTTCGAGAGCATCGCGAACTTCAGACGCGACTCCAACCCACCCATCGCAGCCCCCCATCCCCACCCTCATTCAACAACGACCACGCGGCAGCACGTTGAAAAAGACACGTTGCGATCGCGCAATCGCTCCGAGTACTCGCGCCCGCGACTTCCCCTTTGCATTGCCGCATAGCGCCTTCCAGCTCTGTCGCATCGCACAACACTCCCCGAGCCATGGCCGACGACGCGACAGCAAGCGCAACTGCGCAGGACCCAAGTCTCACTGGTGAAGGTGCCACAGACACCAATGCGCTCGATCAAGGTAGGTCGCATCCTGATTCCAATCATCACCATACCCACCGCCCGTCGCGTCAACACCATGGACGACCTATTCCATGACGACGAGCTCCTAGGTGCACTGGATCTTGCCGACTTGGATCGCATGTTCCAATCACCGACCTTGAAAAACCTCCAAGTCGACAGTCCGCTAAGTTCCGTAGATACCAGCATGCTCGAAGACGCACCCGGCAAGGAGTCTTCCAACGATCCCGCGACTGCCACGCCCACAGCCGCATCAGATAACCCCCTAGACGCACCCGATGGCCCAAGACCGGAGGCGGAAGACGCTGATGGCCAAGATGACGAAGAGATGGGCGGTGTCGACGATGCGAAAAAGGAGAACGGCGAGGGCGCTGAAGCTGCTGACCCAGAGGCGCAAGCAAAAGCCGACTTGCAGTCAGCGGCGCGTTCACACTTTGTGACCCAGACATATGCGACCATCATCCCGAGCTACGCAACCTGGTTCGACATGCGCTACATCGACTACCGCGAGCGCAAAGCCCTACCCGAGTTCTTCAACGGTCGCAACCGCAGCAAGACACCCGCCGTCTACCGCGATTACCGCGATTTCATGATCAACACATACCGCCTGAACCCATCCGAGTACCTCACAGTTACCGCATGCCGAAGGAATCTTGCAGGAGACGTCTGTGCTATCATGCGCGTACACGCTTTCCTCGAGCAGTGGGGATTGATCAACTACCAAGTAAATCTTGCCGCTACATGATTACATTGAGTCATGATTAACGTCTTAACTAGGTCGACCCTCAAGAACGCCCATCCAACATTGGTCCTCCATTCACCGGCCATTTCCGTGTTACCGTCGATACGCCTCGCGGACTGCAACCGTTCCAGCCAGGACCAGGCTCAAAAGTCACAGACGGAAAGCAGCTCACAGCCACCGATCGCGCTGCGAGCCAGCAACCGACTGCGAAGAGCGAGACCAAGTCTTTGGCTGGACGAAACATCTACGAGGCCAATGGCAAAGAAGCATCCGTGGAGCCAAAAGCTGCTAATGGCGAAGGTGCCGCCAACGGCTCGGTAGACGTCAAGGATCTCGAAGCCGCTGCAAAGGAGCCAACCAAGGTCATCAACTGCTTCAGTTGCGGCGTCGAATGTACCCGTGTACATTTCCATGAAACGAAACCTTCCGAGCAGACTGGCCAGATCAAGGCTGCTGGTGGCTTGAAGCGCGACCTTTGCCCCAGGTGTTTTGTAGAGGGCAACTTCCCGCAAGGCACATCCTCAGCCGACTTCACAAAGATCTCCAACCCGGAGAACTCAGCAGCGGCCGAGACGGAAGAGAAGTGGACGGAAGAGGAGACTCTTTTGCTACTCGAGGGCTTGGAGGAGTTTGACGATGACTGGAACCGTGTTGCCGACCACGTCCAGACGAAGACACGCGAGCAGTGCGTGATGAAGTTCCTGCAGCTCGAGATTGAGGACAAGTACATCGAGGCGGATCTACCAGAGTCACAATCGGCAGCTCCTTCAACCAAATTCTTGCGCGATCTGGAATACCTCAGCGAGGGCCGTGTACCCATCCACCACGCCGACAACCCGATTCTCAGCGTCGTCAGCTTCCTAGCGGGTCTTGCTCCCGCAAACGTCACAGAGGCAGCGGTAGCGTCGGGGCGCAGTGTCGGCGAGATGAAGCGCATCCTTCAAGAGAAGATCAACAAAGCCCCAACCGCACCATCAGAGAAGGGCAAAGAGAAGGAAGGCGAGCAGTCTACACCCGCAGCGACCGCCTCAGACATGAAGCCAGAAGGCGGCGACGCTATGGACGTCGACCCCTCTGCCGAGTCCACTGCCGTAGCCACACGGGAATCCGACTCGTCCTCCAACCCCAACCCTCTAGCCACCCTCCCCTTCGCCCTCTCCGCAGCCCGTTCCTCAGCACTAGCCTCGCACGAAGAACGCCACATCACCCGTCTCGTCTCCGGTGCCGTAAACCTCCAACTCCAAAAGCTACAGCTCAAGCTCGCTCACTTCAACGACTTCGAGAAGCTCCTCTCCGCCGAACGTCGCGATCTGCAACGCCGCCGCCAGCAGCTTTTCATGGACCGCCTCAACTTCCAGAGGAGAGTCCGCGCTCTGGAAGACGCTACCAAGCGCATCAGCAGCTCCATGGGCGGCCAGGGTCTGCCCGGCAGCATGAGCAACGAAGACGCTGTTCAGGCGCTAACGGAAGCCATGCGCATGTTCGGCGTAGGCAAAGGCGAGGACAGCATGGGCGTCAAGCGCGACAGCGTCGACGCTGGTGTTGCTCAGCCCCTTGCCGAAGGCGCAGAGGGCTACAGCAAAGTAGAGATTTAGAGACATCTTAACGCGCGCGACGTGTTCAAGATGTGGTCCTCTGAGTCAAGGCTGGGGTGTGCGTATGAGACGCTTCCTTACTATCGCACGGAAACAAAGGCAGAACAGACAAGTGCTATTGGTAGTGAGGATATAGGACAGTGTAACTCACGTGTCGATCGTAAGCCTCACAACGGACACGGTGAAGACCACAAACGTCAGGATAGCATGATGCGCTGAATTGGATTGGGGGTATGTGGTTGTTGGTCTGAAATGGGTGTTTTCTGGCGTACAATGAGTTGGTACCTACGCTATTCGGAACTAAGATTATGCTACAAATGGTCCGATGTGTTCAAGTCTTTTCTTTTCTAGCTGGCGGGAGTGCCTGCTGTACAAGTAGTTTCTGTTATCGAGATCGATTGCAATTCCTTTTCTCAGCACATTCAAGAGTTTTTGATGTGAATGTTGCAAGAATGTCTTGTTGAAACTATATACTGTACATGATTTTCGTCAGTAGCAGAGAAGCGTTGAACACCGCTGTCTAAATGCCCCCCTTGGTTCTTCAAACATGCTGTACACGTAACTATATAATACAATGCCATCATCTCTTTATGCATGCCACCTTCATCACACATGCCTCACAACCCCTCTACTTCCTCTCCAGCCTCCCTGTACTCCTATCACTTCGCATCATGACTAGCCTTTGGCACCATAGTTTCGCTCTCACTAACAGGCTCCTGGCTCTTAACCTGCGCCCTCGCCTTATTCGCCCTCTCGGTATCGCTCTCGCCCTTTGGCTTCTGCTTGCTCTTCTCCTTCTCCTTCTCGCTATCCAGGCTGCTCATGTCGCCCCTTGCGTCGTTTACGGGGTTGTGTTTGGCGTTTGGCTTGTACTCTTCGGGGACAAGGCTGTTTTCTGGTGTGTGGGGTTTCGAGTTGCGTTCACCGGAGAATTTTCCCTTCGCTGATGCGGCGTGGTCGTTGGTGGAGGGTTGTAATGAGGAGTCTTGTTGCGCGTTGGAGGGGTTGGATGGGGTTTCGGCGGAGGCGGTCATGTCGTCTTCGTCGTCGGCGTCAGCGTCTAGCTCTGAGCCGTAGACTTCGGGGTATTCGCGGAAACAGTTTTGCATGTCCCTGAGTTTTGTCAGCTACTTGTTCAAACGTAAACTGCGCAGGCCTGTTACGACTCTACGGTCTAGTGTGGACGTACTTGAACTTATCGATGCAGTCCATGCCCTTGGGCTCCTCGGTGGAGTACACGAAGCAGCTGAACGCCGCCTTGAACTGCTCACCACAAGGGCCATGAGCCATGCCGCCCAGACATGGGCAATCCCAATTGATCTCGCCTGTCTCCGGGTTGAATGCGCCCTGTTGATCTGCCTCTTCCTCGAGTCCTTCTATGCCACCCTGACCATCTTCTGAAGGCTTAGCATTCTGTTGTGCGCGCTCAGCCTCTTTTTGCTTCTGGGCCTCGAGTTGTGCCTGTACAGCTTGTCGTCGCTTGCGCTCTTCGGAGATGGATTCGATGGTAGGGAGGTGCTCGGATTCAACTTCGGTTTCTGGGAGGGGTTGGACAAGTTCTGAGGCAGGATCAGCTACTCTGGTTCAATTCGTCCGTCCATTGGCGTCTGAACATACGTCTTGGCTCCTCTGCGAAAACATCCGTGGTGTTGTAATAGTATATTATTGCTCCGGCAACACCCAGCCTAGCAACCAAGCTCTTGAAACTTCTCGACTTTTGTGATGGTGGTGCGGTGCTCAAGTACCGCCTGGCCGGCGCGACAGACCGTAGTGGCGCGGCTCGCAGCGCTGGACGCGCAATTAACCGTGGGGCTGCACGAAACATGATGCTAAAAGATGTGAAACGGGAAAGAGATGCAAAGAGAGAGACGTGGCGGATGTCAACGGTACACGGAAGTGTCGTCACTACGTAAAAGTTATGGGACCTGCATTTCTAAGCGGAAGGAGCAGGGATCTGCGTGGCTGGAGATCTCGGATCACGTGGTGGAACTTCCGAGAATTCTGGGCATCGTCTCAAGTGTATCCGATATGGTAATGAGAACGCAGTCGCAAATCCCTCAAAAGTTCATGCGTAATCTGAATCAATTTTGTGTGGTCAAGATGGTGTTTGAACGGGTATATTGAACGTTGACCTCATATATACAGAAGTGGACTCATGAAGGCATCTCGCCTCAAGACCGAAACCGAGTAGAGAACCCCTTGCTTGCTGTATGGTACCGCGGAAAAGATGAAGACAACATAGCCAAATCAGTACAGTCCAGATGATCAAGATTTCAGCATGATTCCGTCGTACGAGGTGCTATTGAAGTGGAGTGCAAATTTGAACAAAGCGATCAGGCAGCACGTCTATTTCGGTGGGTTGCGCTTGAAGAAGTATCTGTTGCGAATGTTAGCACATATGCCACCAGAGTAGTTCCTGCTGTGACAACATACTGGCTGACGTAGTAGTCGCCAACGCCGAACAATCCAATGACAGCAGCCCAGGCCGCGACGACCTTGCCGGTCAGCTCGCCGCGGGCATACTGCCTGTATGCGCCAAATCCAACGATGCCACCAACAACGGCAAGACCAACTGCGTTGCTCAGCACGACCGGGTTGTCGGCGTTCTTCTTCATCTTGTCCTTGGCTGCCTCCTTCTTTGCTGCAGCGCGGTCCTTGATGTGCTTGGCTTCTTCCTTGATTTCCTCTTCACGCTCCATGCGCTCGGCTTGCGTGTCGGTCTTGACGGATTGCGACTCGTAGTCCGAGGGGACCGAGGAGATGTGCGGGCTGTCTACGTCGACAAGGGAGTGTACGCTGTCGTCGGAAGCGTGCTCGACCTCAGGTTGGGCGGGGGCGCGACTGCAATGCTACGTCAGAACAACTCTAGCAGCTTCATGCCTCAGAACACAGGTCTTGTATATTGACCAAGATGCAACACAGGGTGCCGTCATGCATCGTCAAAGCTGACGTTGGAGGGGTAAACTCCTTCCAAAAGAATGGGGTGACTTACGCCTGTCTTCAAGTTAGCATTGGCACACATTGCAAGCGCTCTTCAATAACTCACCTCCTCGGGGGTCTGCTTGGGGCCCTTGGCGGCCATCTCTGCGTAAGACATGATGTATGAGGGGTAGTGGTGTTTGGATAGAGAAGTGAAAAAAGTGCTGTCGCAAGGGTTGATGTGAGGTTTGCAGATCAGTCGATGGGTACCGGGAAGCTGCGAAGTCAATGGGCGATCGTGTGAGACCGGAAACAGGCTCCCTCACATGCCTGTTCGCTTAGTGGGCGGTGACCGACGTCATCCTGAGCGCGTTAGCGGCGACGTAGCGAAAGCGCCAAGCATAGGAACAGCACATCCATGTGGAGCATGTGAATGATCTGGACCGGATGAATACAAGAACAACAGTCTCAAGAATTCATTATATATCGCTGACTTCGCTTAGATGACCAAGCAAAAGGCCCCGAGGGTATAAACACAATCTCCATCGTAGCCATCGATACACGCCTCACGGACCTCGATACAGATAGGATCCAAAACTGTGTGCAGATTCGTATGATACACAGACAAGGACAAACAAGCTCTTGGAGATCGGGCCGGTAACGCCCGCTGTAGATACACATGTTGAAAAATGGAAACGATATAACAGAAGTTTTGGGCGCCTTCGATTGCCCTTGCGAGTTTTTGTGGGCGTTGTGCTCACTTTATTCATCACCGAAAACTGTTTTGTAGTTTTCCAGAAGCGCTTGCACGGCGACACGCTGCTGTTGCACGTCGGTGAGTTCGCGCTGGATGTCCATAGGCCGCATGATGGTTGGCGCAAAAACGACAGCGACATTGAGTGGTGTCATCTATTCACATGTTAGTCATGGTACACGTCAAACATCTATTGTGTGTACTTACCAAGTTGTCACTGGCGTGCTGTATGACCCGCGACAGATGGAACACGAGGAATTGCAAGGTATCACGATGAGCCTTGGGAATTTCGTTCACAGCGGCAGACAAAGCTCTTGACTGAGCAGTCGGCTCTTCAAGTTCTGTACAATCATTAGCACTTGATCTGTTGTCGGATAGTATGAACTTACGGCCAGCTTCAAGGAACTGATCATAGACATCGTATGTGATCAGCGGCACAGGGAGCCTGCGGAAGTAGTTCTTCAGCGCAGAAGTGACGGAGTGAATGTCGAGATCTGGGTCCGAGATGTCGTGCTCGGTATCCGTCTCGAAGCCACTGCGCACTTGGTTCACCTGGGAGGTACCGCCGCTTTTACGGTAGATACCTTCCACGTCCATGCCGCGAAGCTCGACCTCTTCGATACATCTGCTGACGATGCGTGGAATCATCTGCCGTTCAAACTCGCATCGTGCTGTCAGGTCAGACCCGAATAGCACGGTACTGGCGTCGGCGGCAGCCAGATTAGTGGTGCTGTTGTTGATGTTCTGCATGGGCCTAAAGCCTTGAGGCGGGCCGCCTGGTCTAACGTTGCCAGGCTTTCCACCGAACCAGCCTCGCGGGGTTCCTTGGTCCATGGTATCCCGGCTTTTGATGGAACTCGACATGGACATGGCCGCAATGTCGGGCCCAGAGTGCACAGAGCCGTAAGGAGTGCCAATGACCTTGACGTTGTAGTCCTCCTGCTTCTGCTCTGAACCGAAGGCTCCCTTGAAGCCCTTGGTGACGTTCTTTGTAATGGCTTGTCCGCCCTTCTTCCAGGTAGAGAATTTGGTGGGTTTTCCGGTCTTCCTAATGTTAACGACTTGCGGCTGCGCGACTGTCGCCTCGCCATCGTCGAGATTGGCATAGGAGTGATCATGCGGTATTACTGGTGCATCCACGGATACTTCTGATTTGCCACCCTTGTGCTGCGCGTTGTATATACCAAGGCCATTGGCAGCAACATCAAGGTTCTGTCCACTCTTCTTGTTGTTCTTAAGGTTGGTCTGGATGTTGTCTACCAGGTCCCTGTTCATGGCGGAAAGTCTAGTGTTAGCGGCCGTGAGCGATTCGTACTCTTGGAAACCC